AACTTTGCCACCCAAGGGTTAAAATCCCCCTAACTCAAAGTCTTTTTCTCTCAAACCTTGTTCTCCAAGTCAAAGTTTCTGAGGCCTTTCAGTTATTGTTTCCTTTAAATATGAGAGAGAAAATCAATAAAACAAATGATTTTATGCATCTTGAAATGATTTATTCAAAAGATGCTCACGGAATTATGCTCGCCAACCTCGAACATTTTTCATAGTGTTTCTGGAGAGAAATGTCAGTTTTACAAGTACTGTCCGAACTCCAAAGCGCATCGCAGTGCTAAAATTTTCCCCAAGTTTGAATAGCCTTCATGCATACTCAATTAGCTGAATCTCAATTTATTTTAATCGTCTCATTAATACGACATTGACTTGAGCAGTGTTCCCCAGCCTTTTTGGGCCCACGGACTGGAAAATTTTCATAATTTCTTCTGCAGACCAACAAATATCCAAAAAATTTCTGCAGTCTCGCAAAGTTTCATAAAATTTTGCAGACTCAAAAAAATTTGCACTTGAAAAACTTAATGGCTGGTATTTAAGAAATTTCTGCCATTTTGCAAAAATTAAGTAGATAACCAGTGGGGAAGCTATAATTGGAATGTTTTCAAAAATTAGAATAGCCACCTTACTTTCCAAGTATGTACAGTATATACACAGCATTTAAATCCACATGCAGTTGAACCTTGATAAGTCAAACACCTTACATTGAATACCTTCCTAACTTGAATTTTTTTAATGTCTCTGTCTGGATTCCCTTTGAAACAATGCATTAACCCTTGGACAGCAGAGGGTTCTTTCCCATATTGTGACAGAGTTGGATTGTTTTATCCTCCTGCATTTTCATAATTTTGAAGGTCAGGAAAACCCTTCTAGGTGGGCTGAGGCAAAGTTGGGATAAATCCGAAAAAAGCCAGTAGACTAACTGAGCTTTTTTTTATTTTCCCTCAAAAATTGTCTGTCCCCAGGGAAAAAACATCAAGATTTTTCCCAACTCTGCCCTTAACCCCCTGTTGACATGTTTTTCTTCACCTCTTTGAGGTGCAACAAAATTTTGCAAAAAAAGTCCAACTTTGCCACCCAAGGGTTAAAATCCCCCTAACTCAAAGTCTTTTTCTCTCAAACCTTGTTCTCCAAGTCAAAGTTTCTGAGGCCTTTCAGTTATTGTTTCCTTTAAATATGAGAGAGAAAATCAATAAAACAAATGATTTTATGCATCTTGAAATGAAGTGACAGACTAATTTAAAAAATGAAACCCTGCCTCCAAGTTCTGCAAGCTGTAAACTCACCAAGAAGTGAGTTCAGGCCCAGAATAGCCTCATTTACAATTTCCCACAATTTATTTTTACTTTTCCTTGCAGCAAAAAAACGTTTGTTTCCTTAACTCAAAATCTCCAAAAATTGAAAACCTCCCTAAGTCAAAACCTTCTCAAGTCCAATTTTTTTTTCTGGTCCCTGGAAATATGACTTGGAGAGGTTCAACTGTATATATAAGCAAGCAGACAATTGGGGAAAAAACGAAAGCACATATAAGGACGGAAATCCGCCGGTTTCCCTCTCGTATGCCCGGAGGCCCGGACACATGATTGATCCACGTGGGGCATGCTTTGACCGCGCGCGGGTTTCACGCTCTGTCCAAAAGCTTGACGTGTCGGGACATACGGGGAATGAGGTGGGATTCCCAAACCCGTCAAACAACTGCCGGTTATCTGCTTGATGGCGGGGCTCAGGTTTTTCAACACAACCCGGGTTGCCCACCCCTGCTGGGCCCACTGGCAGCAGCACCTGATGCTGCTGCTGCTGCTGCTATATACTAATGCTGATAAGCTCTGCTGGTGTCTGTTGCCTCACCTCGGCATCGAAAAATATATGAGTCAACTGACGTGATGGGTTATGATGGTGCTTGAGTCACTATATACATGGAGGATTGCATTATTCTAAATGCTGATGTCATATTCTCTAGCATTTCATTCAGGCTTGAGATCAGAGGCATTAAGGTAACTATGCAGTCCACAATGTCCGTGATATCATTGGAATTTTTTATATAAATTCGGAGAATTGCCGAAAAAAAAAGCAGGAGTTTTTTTCCACTTGTACCGATTTTCTTGCGTATGAGAAATTATTTGATGATTTTCAATTTAGGACTGTGACGAAAAAAGTTCTTCATACCATTTAGGAAGCGGAATTTTATGAAAACATGCGGAGAACGAATGACGGGAATTTGTTTATTTGTACCAAGTTTTTTGCAGGAACAAATTATCGTTTGATCACTATATTAAGATTTTATATATTGGCGCGAAAAAACCTTGATGTATCAGTGGACTTTCAGAAATAAATTCGGAGAATTACTTCGAAAAATTACGGGGTTTTAATTTTTTTCAATTATTTGGTGTATAAGTAAATTATTGGTTGATCAATAAATTAATCCAGTGGAATAGCATGAAAAAATTTCCGTGATATCAGCGGACTTTCAAAAATAATTCTGAGAATTACGCATGAAAATCCGGACGTTTTAGTTTGAATCAACTTTTTCGGCAGAAGAAATTATCTCATGATACACAGAAAAAAGACTGTGAATTGATCCGATAGATAAGTCCTTTAAATGAGCTCACTTTTCATAAATGCATTCGGAGAATGAACGGGAATTATTGGGGTTTTAATTTGTGCGAATGAGACTGTGTGAATTAGCCCGAAGAAATGGCTTTATTCGCATCGTGAAAATTATTATACATTATTCAAGAATTTAACGTAATTAGGATACGAAACTCAGAATGAAAAGCTTGCAACTGCTGCGGGTTCAACTTGACAGCAGTTAAAAACCCGAAAAGGTTCTTTAGACTAATTTTGAAAATTCAAAAATCATTCGAGTCAATTTTTCATAGTCAATCACGAGTTTACGATTTACGACGGGTCATGCAAAAAAAACAAAAAAACCCTGAAGAATTTAGTCTGCATAAACACGAAAATTATATGTGTAAATCATCCGCTTCCAGCATTCGTGATCCGAAATTTAAAATATGTTACGCAAGAAAACTCAAATTCAAGTATTCAAGGACAAGTTTACAACGTAATTCTTGACAAAATGGAACAAAAATTGCGTCATGGTATCTTAAATCTTTGATCGAAACATGGTTAGGGACTATAAAAGTTTTGAAACCGAAAATGCTCAAGAAATATACCTTCGAAATATAATCATGTTGTGAATATTTAATCTCCGCCGAAAAGTTTTAGAATTTTAATCAGTATTTAGGAAAGGATATTTTTCGTGGCTAAGGATTTCATCAGGTATCCTTCAATTATCGAATATTTCGGTATATATTTCACTAAACGCTATGCGAGTACATGGTATAGCAGTAGTCGCCTAACGGAAGAAATTTCTGAAAAAGAAGTTGGTGTTTCATCATATCTACATTTTTGCGTGTTCTTGAAACAGATCTCAAAAAGAATGATCGCTTATTCGCATTAATATGCGCATCACGGAGTGTAAAGAAGCTTATGATGTACAAGGGTTTTTCCGACACCGGGGAGAAACCTGGGCAGCAGTGAATGATTTCTTCACAAATAATTTATGGTCTTCTTTTTTTTTAAATATAAATAAATAAAAACGTAACCCCACAGTTATCTTGAATCCCGATCACATTTCAGAAAAATTATACGATACGCCTCAACCCGGGGAAAATTAAGATGGGGTCTTTTATCCGACCGTATTTTGTCCCTCCGTCGCTCAATCATGAATCGGGGTCGATAATTAAGTTCCTATATATAGGTTATACGACAGTTTTCGTTTTATTTGTCAGCCGCTTGTCTATTTTTACATTTTTTAAAATTCGGTTCGAAAATGCGCAATAATTTGATTTGTAAAAAAAAAACAAAAAAAATGATCCGCTTTTTCTTTTGCAGTTTATTTTGTGGCTAAGTATAAATGATGAATGAACAGAACACTTTATTTGCCGCTTTTCAGCGTTCACAAGGTTCAATCAAGATTTCCACAACTAAACCCCCTTCCCACCCAACCCAAATCCACTCCAAGACATTTACTCACTTATTCAGAGCAGGAAACAGAGCAAAAATTGATAACAAAAATAAAAGAAAATACAATCTGCAAAATAAAATTGGGCATCTGACATGTATGCATACACCCATTCATTCCCTGGCATTGAAAACAAAATATATGTAAAAATTAGTTTAAAGCACAAGGTCTTCAGCTTGTTTCTGTATAAGGTTTAGTTGAATAAAAAATTTAGAGAGAATCTTTGATGAGAAATCATATAAGGCCAACAGTTTATCTTGATCCTTTAAGATTTCAGAAAAGGTCTCTTCATTGAATTCCAATACTTGTAAATCTTTCTTACCCTCATTTCTATCAGTATAAAATGCTGGACATAAAAAGAGAAGGTGCTCTGGTGATGCACAAACTAGTGTATTTACGGCTAAGTATAATTTCGAACTCAGTGACCCATGTCTGCTGCTGGAAATCATTCGTTCGGGAAACTTTTTGGCGGTTATATGTGTCAACTCATTGTTTGTTTTTGTTTTCTTACCTTGAGAAAATTTCATGTTTTTACTTCTTGATGACTTGATATTTTCTTTTCCTTTGACGAGACAACGACTGAGGAAATTTTTAAAATTTGTCGATCGCTTCCTTCGAGTATACGTATATACGCTGAAGACGCAATGTCCGGCCATATGGCTTGGCGTGCTAGTCTAAAAATTTCGCAAGATGAAGTCTCGCTCCAGAGTTACGTTATCGAATGTATTTTACAGCAGAGAAGAAGAAGAAGAAGAGAAAAAACGGTGGGCTATTAAGTAATTGCACTTTTTTTCTTTATTCTTCTTTTTTTTTTGCTTCGGCAGATGCGCCGGCAATTTTCGGCTGGGGAATTCCAGAAATAACGGCAAGGGCGGCGAGAATAAGTAATGATCTTTTGCCCAATCGGGATCGAGGATTTCTTTCTCTTCTTTTTTGTTGATATTCATCTTTTGTTTTGATTTGGAATCGCACTTACTCTTCCCAAGATTCCAGGTTGTCCAGCTGAGCTTCAGCAAGCTCCAGGTTGTGCTTGGCGGCCTTGGGATTCAGCTGAAACAGGCTGTGATTTCGGTCGGCGTTGTGCAAGGTTCTCACGGTGCCTCTGACCCTGAAATTACCAGAGGAAAACAGATGTGAAATAGAACACTGGATACATATTACAGGGTGAACCAGGAAAAATGAAAGAATAATATCACAGCTTCGATGCATATTCCGCTCAGCAGTTCAAGACAATAATGTCTTTAAAAGTGGATAGGCTTAAGTTCAGTATAGTAAACTTCCCATATCAGCGATGTCAGTTCCATTATCATCTTCCTAGCCCGAATTTGATTTTGTAAAAAGAAAAAACCTTAACAAATAAAATTGTCTAACGTTTTCTCAAAATTTATTTTTATAGTTCCTGTGTTCAATTGAGTACCAAACACACCTTTTTTTTCAAAATTTCTTTTATTTTTTTCATCAATTTGTGCTTTGTTTCCTGCTTTGAAGTGATTAAATGTCTTTGAGGGGATTTAGGTTGGGTGGGGAGGGGGTTTGGATGTGGAAATCTTGATTGTACCTTGTGAATGCTGAAAAGCGGCAAATAAAGTGTTCTGTTTGTTCATTCATTCATTATTTGAAGCTATCTTATACATGTGAAATACTACTGGTACCTTCCAATTTGACCTAACACAATTTGACCATCCCACAATTTTATAGGCAAATTTTCTGGGAGGTTGACTCACAATTAGACCCCACAAATCAACCCACAGATATGGGCAAAAATGTTAAATACTATGTAGAAAACACTGCATTCAATGTTCCTTAGCAATTTGATTGATTTTCAATTCAACCCTAGTCCAGCAACAGATTAGGGTTAAATTGCAGGGCAGCACCTCCACTTGCATAGCTTGAATGAATCTTCCATGGATTCTGGTATAAAAAAAATATCCTCCTGCTTTCTTAAGTTTTTAATACGAAAGATTCTGCCTTTTTGAATAAGAGTGAAGCTTTCAGAGAGTACAGAGACTAATAATCTTTCAAGTTCTTTGAGTATCACTGATCAAAAAGGGTAATTCCTGTTTATTTTCTGTACCTAATTTAGGCTTAATTTGGATAATCAATTTTTCATTTGACCAGAGTGGGTTGGAATTTCTTGAGCAGTTAAAAATGTATAACCCAGCAATTATTATGGAAAGAGAGAAACTGGATGGGATGGGGTATCTGAGTCTTGAGAAAGTTATTCCAAGAAAAAGCAATTTGGATTTCTCTATTCAAAAAAAGATTATCCATAGAAGTCCGTCTGAGCGAGGGAGGCCATTTGATGAAACGTCTTCCATCAACTTGTACCAGTACCCACACCTGCTTCAGGTTCCATAAGCCGTCCACTTTATCCCCTCGCATTCGCAATCCATCTGTTCCCTTGCCTATTGGCGTCCCAGGGTGGGCTTGAGGTGGTTGCCTGGTGGATTATTCCACTTTCACAGAAACTTAAGACCGGGAAATCTGTGATGGAAATTCTTGGACGACACAATGATTTCCCCGCGTTTATTGCAGAATGCTATTTTCAGCCTGTAAATGAACTTCGTTGACGAAAATTGAAATGGAATTCTCTTTTGTAAAATTTTCTTCCCCCAGAAGGTCAATCGCCTGTTGTTTTGGGGAGAATTGAGAAAAGGAACCCGATGAAGGTTTCCTTGTGAATCCCCTGACAATGCATACAATAATTTCTTCAATTATCATTATTGAAGCCAATCAGAGGCCAGGAAATATATTAGAATATTCTGGAATCTTCTGGTCAGATTGCCTGGCCAGACAATTCCAAGAAAACCATAAAAGTGCCTTCATATTTTGAATTTATCAGCAGTCTGTCCTGAACTCTTAAAGGACAATCTTATCTTTCTTTTTACTACTGATTTGTGCAAAAATCTGTGATGTGAATTTGTTTGATCAAATCTGGTGATTGTAGTTATTGTGTGCGTGAATTTACTCCATTGGATTCATTGAATTCTTGACCTCAAAAGGCCTCAATGGGCTGTAAAACCAAATTGCCTGTGTTTATTCCCTTTTGTGATAAATTGAGCTCAAATGCTGTAAGTCCTCAGGAATTTGATTTTGCTGAATACAGTATAATTTTCCTTTCATGCTCTGTTCATATGCAATGAGGATAAAACCAAGCGTTTTAAGAGAGATTTTTAAGCAAAATATTTGCTCAATTTTCATTTTTTTTAAATGTTTTGCGTTCCACATAAGCGATCAGCGTAAGAACCTCCATTCAAAATGTTTCAAGTTCTCTTTCCTTTGGACACAAATCAAGTGTATTTCTTCGAATCAATTTTCCCCTCATCACTTCCGGAATCGAAATGTCAGCAATCTGTTGCCATTACGAAATACGAAAGGTGAACGAGGGCACTGTGAAAGACCTGCATCTGGAAATGTCACCAAGACATGTTTTTTTTTATTAAAAATATTAATAGGGGGACATCTAATTTCGTTTGAGCTTTGCTCTTGACGCCCGTTGAAGACTAATGGGGTCATATATAATACGACAACTTTTCTCTGTACAGTATACCCCTTTTTTGGGCCCATTGATGACAGCAATGTAATCATATGTTATTGACTTGACAGCTCCTTTTTTAATTATCTTTATATGTCATTGATTACTTCATCAAAGACGACCTGAATTGTCAGATTTGCTTTCGTGTTAGTGTTTACCTCGATTGGATGATGGATTATTTTCATTTCGCATATACTTTAGTTGAGAAACGATTCAGTAACCTGTTTTTGCCAAAATTCCCGGCGATGGGGCAAAGTTTTCAATCCTATGAAAACTTTTCAAAAAAATTGAAATTGTTTCCCCAAAGTTTGAGTGAAAAGTAAGCCAAAACATGCAATGCAAGTTTCTGCAATTCTCAAGGGGAGAAATTTGAAAAAAAAAATTTGACAGAAATTTTTCTTTGGAGGACGATCTTCAAACAATCGAAAAAAATTGAATAGTTTTCTTATCATGAGACCAAGGGGACAACTGAAAAGGATTTTTTTAATGCCTTGTCAGCATCACTAGATTAATGATAAACTTGAAAATCAAGTTCAAAGTTAACATCAGTCCAAGCTGAGACATTTAGGCTTGAATCATCATTGTTTTCTTTTTTGAAATTCAAACCAATGTTGATTTAAATTTATTTTTTGCATCCGTCCGAAAATATTTGAAAACTCTTTCGTACTCGTATTATACATGCGGATGCTTCGTCAGAGAATTAAAAAAATGAATAGCTTTGAATGAGTTGTTTTGAATAAACAGCTGAAAAAATATATACAGTATATCTTGATGACATTTTGTACAGTCGCCGAATTCCTGGACGGAATTGAAATACACGGAAGTGGAATGTCTGGGATTGATATGAAAATATCTTTTCGGATATCAGAAATATGCAAATTAAATTTCAGAGCCTCGTCCCAACAGTCCAAGGACATTTAAAAAATACTCTGCATAATCACGGCTTTCTTAGTCAATCAAAGAATTTCTGGAAATTTTTCTAGGGAAAAAAAAGCTGTTCCATTGGGGATGCGTTCGTCCAAATACCACCGGAAGGTAAAAAATAAATAAAATAAAAACCTGCAAAAGAAAGAAAGACGTCCGCATTGTTTAGAAATGCCGCAATATGGTGTTCCTTTATTTACTATTTACCCTGGAGAGAATCGTGTACAAAATTCCAATGAACGAATGAATGAAATATCAGTTCGTTATTCCGGTTTTGTCCTTTATCCACGGAAGGAAAGAGTGGACGTCAGTTGCTACGGAAGGGGCACTGGTGCTGCAACCCGACTGGCCCCAACTCACAATTCCGATCACATGCCATTTCTGGGTATTTGCGGAATACCAGACCACAGGACCACCACTGTCACCCTTTTGCGAGTAAATAAATGAATAAAAAGAAGAAAAAAAAGCGAATAATGCGGTATTTCGACGACCGACCCCCGGGGATTTTATTTCATTTTTTCTTTCTCGGAATTCGTTCTCTGTTGCGTGAGCGGAAGGGGTTCACTAAAAAATTCATGCGGATTGGAAAATCAATCATTCAACGCATTCGATCATCTAAAAAATGGAAAAACCTTGTTGATGATCGACTGTAATTTTAAAAGCTCGTGAATCATCGCCCGAATACTCAATCCTGAATTTTTATCGAAAATTAATTCGCTATCTCCGAAAAGACAGAAAAATAATTTCGTAACTGCGCAATTGCGATTTCACACTGAAATCATTTCTGTTGATAATGCTTTCATGCATTCAATATGCATTTATTCAACAGCATATGCTGAGAAAAATATGTTATTCGAAAATTGATCTGAGCTAAAAGATGAAAACGAATACGATCAGAACGCAAAAAAATATTTCGCGAGAGGTAATTGCCTTGTGTGATGGAAAAAACTTTTTGAACTTTAAAGCTGCTTTGAAGTACTGCTTCGCCCACACTTTTTGTTCATATGATACATGTCAGAAAAGGGATAATCCTGAAGAAAAGGTTTCGACATTTTCCTCAAAATGATTAAATCAGTTTCAGCAGCAGCAGAGGACGAACTTTGTCTTCCAGAAAATTGCCATAATTTATTTGTGACAGTTTCTTGCCGTTTTTATAACTTCGTTACATAGACGCATACGCGGATAAAAATTCACGAATAACATTTAATTCAAAGGGATTTTTGCGATCTCAAATTTGGTATTTTAAGTAATAAAAAGGGGGGAAATTACGTACCTGACATGTTCCTTTGTCACTGTCGCCAATGCAAACCATTTGCGAGCCATCAAATCCATAGCCCAACTCGTTGCATCTTGAGTCATCCACGATTTTCAAATTTCCATGGCGTAATTCGTTCGAAACCGGACTCAGATCTCGTTTAAAAAAAAAGGATTATATTGCATCTTTTCTCGAAAAATAATTTCCAAACAATTGACAAATGCATTCGCCGTCAACCTGCTGAAGCTGAATAAATTGGATTACTGTCTTTTCAGTGAAGAGGACGAAACGCGTTTTTCTCGAATGCCATGATCTAATCTCTTACAGAATTGCTACTAATGCCTTTATAGTGCTTCAATACAATCCAGCCACTCATGATATAAACTGATCAATAAACAGAGTGATTGAGTGCGTTAAGAATGCTGAAAGCGAGATGATTCAATAGATGAAATTTATTCATAGAATACAGAAATTTATTTGAAAGCCATTCAGTATTGCAGATTGAAACACCTATGACCTACTCAGCAAATAGGACTCTCTTATTGAACCTGTTGAGCAGATTACATTACAGAGCTGCAAACGCTGAAACATTATCATGCGACAGGAATTATATTACTTATTTTATTTGAGGGCTTTATCCAGAGAAATCTAGATTGAAAATAAGTTGGCATTTCATGCATGCTAGGGCATGATGAATTTGGTTCAAGTTTCTTAAGTTGGGTACAGTATTACAGTGGCATTTTGTAAAACAGAAAACTTTTGTTTGAGTAGTATATTTTTTGGGCCATTTTTCTTCATTCAAATCACATTTGTAAAAAAATCCTCATTTGTAATATAAAGCAGTGTTCCACATTTGGTCTGTGGACCTGTGCTGGTCAGCAGAAGCTTTTTGCCAGTATCCTTGAGAAATTTTTTTCAACATGATGAATTCATCAAAAGTAGCAAGGAAGTTTGCTATCTTTATCTGAAGTTTCAGAAAGACAATAATCACAGTTGAAATTACCTGATGAAGAATAAAAGTTAGGTTTTCTAACTACAATGCTTCAGACAAATTTCCCCATGCTGAAATAAATTAACTTCAATTGTGATTCTGGGAAACCTTTCTTTAAGTCCACCTTTATATTTTTTTAAGATATTAAACTATGGTATCACTACAGCTGCTTCATTGCCTCTCAACATAATTTTTTCAAAACAGCAGTAACTTTTTGAATAACTGCTATAAAGTCTTTCAAGTAAAACTTTTTCAGTCTGCAAACATTTTATGAAACTTTGCTAGTCTGCAGAGATTTTTTTGGGAAATTTGGCAGTTTATCCAGAGAAATCTAGATTGAAAATAAGTTGGCATTTCATGCATGCTAGGGCATGATGAATTTGGTTCAAGTTTCTTAAGTTGGGTACAGTATTACAGTGGCATTTTGTAAAACAGAAAACTTTTGCTTGAGTAGTATATTTTTTGGGCCATTTTCTTCATTCAAATCACATTTGTAAAAAAATCCTTATTTGTAATATAAAGCAGTGTTCCACATTTGGTCTGTGGACCTGTGCTGGTCAGCAGAAGCCTTTTGCCAGTATATCCTTGGGAAATTTTTTTCAACATGATAATTTCATCAAAAGTTGCAAGGAAGTTTGCTATCTTTATCTGAAGTTTCAGAAGGACAATAATCACAGTTGAAATTACCTGATGAAGAATAAAAGTTAGGTTTTCTAACTACAATGCTTCAGACAAATTTCCCCATGCTGAAATAAATTAACTTCAATTGGGATTCTGGGAAACCTTTCTTTAAGTCCACCTTTATATTTTTTTAAGATATTAAACTATGGTATCACTACAGCTGCTTCATTGCCTCTCAACATAATTTTTTTCAAAACAGCAGTAACTTTTTGAATAACTGCTATAAAGTCTTTCAAGTAAAACTTTTTCAGTCTGCAAACATTTTATGAAACTTTGCTAGTCTGCAGAGATTTTTTTGGGAAATTTGGCAGTCCACAAAAATTGTATGGAAATGTGCTGTTCTGCAGACCTGAAAAACCTGCAGACTGGCCAATTCCCCAAAAAAATGCTGTGGACCAGCAAAGTTTCATAAAATTTTTGCAGACTTGCCAAAGTTTTGCTTGAATATTATTAGGCAGGTAGATAATACAAGAAAAAATCAGTTAAGAATGTCATCAAACAATTTGAAAGGTAGGCTTGGAGAAAGGTTTCTCAAATGATTGAAAAATTATAATACTGTAATGTATTTCTGTACATGAAAAGTTGTCTCAAGTGTTATCAGAATAAAAGCTCACATTTTTCATCAGATAATTCAACTGCTATTGTCCTCCCAAAATTTCAGGTTATCAAAGGTTACCAACTTCATCTTGACTTTTGATAAGTTTATTATGCATAAAATTTTCTGCAGTTTGGCAAAAAAACTTCTTTAGACCAGCGCTGGTCAGCAATCCATGGGTTGGGGAACACTGGTATAAAGAACAAGTTTCTTCTCTGCACAAATTTTTGTTTCCAGTAAACAGTACTATACAATGGTAGAGATTTGAACCACAAAGATGTGTTCTACAACAGTTTTGTGGTGTGAGGTGTTTGTATACAGCCAACCCCTGTCTAATGGACTTGATTCATGCAAGGGACGAGTCTGTTAGATGAAAAGTCCTTTACACAAATTCAATTACATAAAAAATGGAAAATTTCAATTTTCAACACTAATTTTAAACCAAAAGAAGTCTGTCTCGTGGATTTTGTCTGTTGGGCGGGAGGAAAATCTGCTTGCAGAACTGGTCNTGTTTCGTGGATTTTGTCTGTTGGGCGGGAGGAAAAACTGCTTGCAGAGCTGGTCTGTTTGGCAAAAATCCCTTACACGGGAGGTCTGTTAGGCAGGGGGCCACTGTACTACAATATAAGGTACCACTGTATTTACTCACTCAGTTTTGTGGCCAAAGGAAAGTTGATGTTAATCCCCCATCCAGACACATCCACAATATCACCGGCAGAGCGGGTCCAATCATCAGGTGGCAAAGCAATTGGCTGGACTTGAGTACCCAGTTTTGCTTCAAACAGGAGCCACACAAGACCTATATCATTCCTGACTGTAGTTGCTCCATCATACCAGAACAAAGGGTTTGCCTTTGGAAAGCCAATTGAAAAAACTTCAGTCTTCTCATAATCAATCCTCTTCAGGTCCCCAAGTGTGACCCATGCAAATATTCCAGGAACTCTGCGTTGAAACCGGAAATAACTTTCATCTTAGTTTTCAAGAGTGGACAAATTCTCATGATTATAAATAATTATTTACAGAAATTGTGTTCGAAACTTCAGAAGTACGCACTTTCTTGTAGATGGTCACTTTCTAGTTTATTTCTTTCCTGATTCAACAAGAAATAAATACTTTATTCCAATCAATCTGTGCTATCAATCATGCAGAGCACGCACTGAAATTTTCAAAGAAAGAGAACCCATACATAATCTCGTACACGCGCAAGTTTTTTGTGGCTAAAAATCCCCACATGACAAAACCTAAAAATAAGCACTGTATATAAATTCAGGCTCAATTGAAAGATTCAATTGAGTACCTTTCGAATCATTGCCTTCCATATTTCAACTATGATGAGAAGGAACTCTGTAATCATTTTAAAACTTATAGAAGAAGTGATGGGAAAATTGCTCCGGACCATCACATCTTACAAAATATACCAAAAAAATGTGTGTGACACCATAAGTAAGGGCATAGAAAACAATTAAATTTACCATCAATTTGGCATACATTCAAATTTGTATTTATTTCAGGTTCGTTTTAAACATTCTTGGTTTAAAGGTTTTCCTTTGAGTTCGGAGTGTACAAACTAAAATTTCGAAATTTGCTGGAGAGCTGTGTACCCATCGTGTACCATGTCCAAACTCACTTTCATTCGATACATTCTTGGAAGCAAAGGTTTTCATGCATAGTACTTGAGTAAATATAGTAACAGATCAAAGCTTGAGAAGAATCAATAGAAGCCCAATTTGTTTCACATGAGATGGAAATGAGTGAAGGTGTTGCATGTGACACCTATTTATAGAGGCGTAGCTGCCATATACTGTATATACTCACAGAGCTCCAAAGGTTCTGGTGCAGTGTCCAGCTGTCAGAATCCATCTTGAAGAGATCAAAGAGCCACCACACTTGGCAATACTCAAAGTTGGAAAGAACACATCCAAGCGTGCCATGTATGCATAATCTGGCCTGGAAGTGACTATTTCACCATTGATTATGGTTGGGTTATCCTCATCTCCTGGGTTTGTGGCTGCGGATGGTGTTGCCAGGTCTGTTGAAAAACATATTTTCAATATACTGCATGCAGTCAGCCCCTGCCTAAAGGATTTTTACCTAACAGACTGCATCTGGAGGCAATTTTTTCCTCCTGCCAAATGGACAAAATTCTTTTAACCAAATTCTGTTGATTTAAAATTGAGGGGGAAAAGTAAAATTTTTAATTTTTAGTAATTGAATTTGCATAACAGACTTTTCTCATAACAGACTAGTCTCTTGCACAAATTAACTCTGTTGTGTGGGGGTTGCCTGTATTGAACAGGATGAACAGGAATACATTGGGACCTTCAGAAAAAATGCCTAAAGCAATATAATTCTCACTAACAAAAACCAGCATTTGCTGGATACCATTTTCTTTTTAGCAAGAAACTTGAATATAATTAAGGAAAATGTATTATGTAAGGGTGCATCAAATTTGTTTGTATTACTATATTTTAAAAAAGGAAAAAGGGACAATAAGGAATCACCACTATCAAAATAGTTTTATTTTTATTGCCGCTGAAGAGAATAATTTATTGAAAAATTTTAATCTTTCAAGTTATCTAATGAATGCTTTTATGATTAACTGAAATAATTTTGCAGCACTGGAGAATTGAAAAACAAACATTCAAATGCACTTGTTGAGGAATTAATTGACCCAACATAAAGAATTGAACCATAGCGCAGTGGAAGAAAAGGTGGGAAATAATAAGGCAGCGCAATCAGCCGGTTTGCAGCCAGGAATATGTAATTGAGGGGATACCTTGATTAAATATCCCTAGTTTTGTCTGGTTTAATCACAGTCCACAATAAATCACAATCAAACACATTGCAAAAATAATACATCACAATAAATGCAATAATGAAACACACATTCAATGAGGACAATAAATTTGTGCACGCAAATTTAGGGTACAATGATGCAAAGCAACAATTCAATCAGAAGAATTGGGGCTGTAATGTTTTGAGGGAAGTTTACTGTAAGAGCTAATTTTAGGGACTGATTATTGGGAGTGAAAGAGTGCTGGTGTTTATAGGATTTAGCCCAATGCTTCTGTCAGCTGACCTGACCAAAGCACTGGACTTTTTACCTTGTCTGTGATTGGCTGGAGAAATGTGCATGCATCCGTTCCCTGGATAGATACATTTTGCACCTCTAAATTTTTCAAGGTCTTTTTTTGTACCGGTCACTTCAAGTTTGGCGTAGCATGGATACAGTTTGCACTCTCCACTATTAAATTAATCCAAGGTATCAAGATGTTAAAGTAATCCTACTAAATTAAATTTTTAATGAAAATGGTGATTATAGACGGACGAAAAGCCTAATTAGTGAATGGCACGAGAAAGGCTGATTAAATTACTCACTCATGTTCATATCCATCGGATCTGTTGAAACCCCGTCATTTCTGAGAAAATGTGATTCGTTTTCTTTCTTAATTATTAACGAAATATCATCACACAAAAATCCCTGAATGAATGACAGGAGAAAGAAAGCCTGCACTCTCCACTGATCACACCAACTCATGTGAAAAACTTTTTTTCTGGAAAGAAAGAACGAATGTACAGACGCCATTTTTATTTTCTTTATACACAGAAAAGAACTGTGGAAGCCATTACTCTTTATCTGTCTCAGTGTCTATTTTTCACTCGAGTAACTTAGAACTTGAGTTGCTCGAAAAAAAAATTGAAACTTTTTCCCGTGTCACCGTCATCATCAGCGTCATTCACTGTCAGCACAACATTGTTTCCAAATAATACTGCTGAAGAAACTTTAAATGCACTGCGAATTAGCTCATTAATGACACCGAGATTGTATTCAAAATTCCCCGGACATTTCGCAACAATTTTCTGAAGATTTTTGTCATAGTAATGCACTGCAAATATTGGTCTTTCAGAAATGTTTTCACGAGGAAAAAACCACGAAATCATTACATTGTGCTTTCAATCTGGAGTATGTAAGCTTTTACCACGAATGAAATTTTCTCTATAAAAAAAATGTGGGTCTGAGCAAGAAAAACGAAGCATTGTCTCTGTCTCTGTGACACAAACTGTAGCACGTCGGGAAACAGAAACTTGTCCTTGAAGGGACAGAAAGTAAAACCAGGGCACGCTTCAGTCATTAATCGGAATTGATGTCAGTCATTGACCCTAATTTCTTAACGATTCGATGAGTCTCATGAAAGGAATTGAAAGTAAGCCTTTCAAAATACCACTGAAGAAGATATCAACATTTTCCGTCTCGCATAAAATTCAAGAAAACGTTTTTCAAATGCTAGCCGCATCAAGAATATTACCCACTTTTCTAAAAAAAAAAAAACACATGGTTTTCAGTAAGAAATCAGTTGAGAGTGGATGGAGAAAACCGTTACTCTATTTTTCCGAGAAAAAAAAATTATTATGCATTAAAGGTTTCTCTGGAATTTAATTTCCATGGTCATTACCCGTCTGAAAATGCCATATATGAGCTTCAGTGGATTTCTTTTGCACTTATACGTGCATATAGCAAAAATTATAAAAAATAAAGAAATTCAACAAATAAACTTGACTTCAAATGTCAGGATTGATGCATGTCAAAGTTTCTTTTTTCTCCAGAATTGGAACTCAAATTTCTTCATGCTCACGCACTAAGAGATTATCAACAGCTGAAAAGCTTTTCGAATTATTAGAGCACAAATATTTATAATATATTTTGCTCTTTGAACTCCCACATTCATCTTGTGGTGGCATATTCAAGGTGGGTTCCGTACCCAAGTGTTCTGCTTTGGAGTGCTCAGCACAAACCTCATCAACTTTGAAGAAAGTTGAGTATCATCACCATGCAAAAAAGCATTCCTCATGATGTAAATCAACTCAGGATTTCAAATGGAATCTTTCAGATTCTTGTGTGGAAAGTATTCCTTGGGAAAATTTACCAAATCCCAGCCTTAAATAGTTGCATTTATGAAATTATATTTTCGTGTTATCAAAAAAAAGAACAACTTTCCATCATATTTCATAAATGTAAATTAAATTCTGTCAAATGCCTGAAATATTCTTTGAAAAAAAAAATTCAATTGTAAAGGTTCCATTATAGAAATACCATCAGCATAATGCAGTTGAACCCCAATAACTCAAACCTCCCAATGTCAAATACTGTACCTCCTTGTGTCAGTTTTTGAAGTTTTTCAATTTTTCTCAAATATAATTGTGCAAAGGAATTTTTGTCTCCAATAAGTCTAGCATCCTCTCGACTCATTCAGGAAGCAATTTAGTCTAGAAAATTATGAAATATAATTTATTTATTACTTATTTCCCCAAACACAAATGCTCTTCATCCCTAACTGCTATTGAGAAAATTAATTCGATTTTTGTTTAATCCTTTGAAATTAGAGTCATATATTTAGAAATAAAGGTTGAACTGTGGTAGAAAATTAACTTTGTTCTGGAACAATTTGTTAAGGTGTGTCATCGCCAAAAAGTACAATATTTCGTCGGGCGTTTTATTCCATCCCCCTCAACAGGAAAAATTAGAATTCATTAATTTTTGCTGAGTCTTCGAAAGAGAGTAATTTTGAATTATTTGCTGCTCATTATAGCAGAAAAAACAGACACTATTATTAGAAGAAAATTGAAGATTACGTCATTGAAAAGCAGAGAGCATTTTTCAGATTTTTAAAATTCCTATTTCATGAAGAAAAATCTTCTTATTTTTCCCTTTAATCCCATCCCAAAAAAAGTAAGGTTCTTAGGAAGTTTGTTTTAACGAGATTTCCCTTGTACTCCTGCTTGAGGTCAAATATAATAATTTGGCGATTCTTAATCGGTTCATCGTTCCACAAAAAAAAAATAGCGGAAATATTGGAATGATCATTTAAAAAAAAGCCGGAAGCAATGGAACCTGCTCGAAGCATCGTGGGTTGATTCCGCAAATAAGCCCATTCTTATACATTACGCATTTGCAGCCGGAAGTCTTTGATCAAATCTTGCGTCAGAGCTTAAGTGATAAACACGGTTTCTCGAAAGGGGTCAACATCCCGTAAAATGTATGAGGATCTCCACCCACAAGTCACGTTGTGGAACACGGGGTCCACTCATCCGGAAGTGATCCCCAAGCAGCAGCAGCAGCAGCAGCCCCAGGGCGTGGGTGCGAGAAATGCCATCGCGTATATACGTCCTTTGTCACCTTTTTGAGAGGTGGCGGGTTTTATTATTGTAGCTCAAGAAAAGAGGGGGCATTGAAACATAAGGCAGGGTTATGTAGCTTCATGCACGTACTGCATATGCATTTGTGGGGGTTGAGAAAGGCCTGTATGAGATGAAGCTGCGATGATAAGGGTTTATCGCTTGTGACACTTTCATGGTCTCTCACATTATTGACCCCTTCGATTTCAGATACTATATGAACGAGGTATAACGATAAGCATATTTGACATCATTCATGAGGGACTTTCCATATATATATAAGTGTCATTTTGCATTCCAGTCTTGTTAATTTTTCGCATAATTATAATCCTGCATTATTCCTCTATATATATACTATTGTATTCGTATTTTATAACCAACCAGAATTGGAAGCTGGATGTGCTGCATTATATCCAAAATTTTCATGCTTGATGCAAAGATGGTGCGTAAAAATTAGGGTCATTGTAAACATGAGTAATTGAAATTTTATCAGTGTCGCCATAATTCAGAAGAAATGATTTCATCATTCCATCACTGGAACGTTTCCACTAAGGATTAAATAATAAATGATGGAACATGTTGAAAAAAAATAATTCATCGAACTGCTCTAAAAAATTAATCAGGAATACAATCCAAAAATATTCAGGAGAACGAAATGTTTTGAAACTTTTTGTAACGACTCTAAATTCATCAGAAATTGTGAAAACTTTTGACAGTTAACCATCTCAGCATTCAGCCGAAAGAGAGTTGATTAATTTGCATGCTTAATTGAACCAGGACTATTTCAACCTGCATATATTTGGCTCAGCCCTTGATTCTCAATTTTAGTGAATCAATCCGGATTCTTACAAAGATTTATTATCAGTCAGGTATTGTAAATGTTCAATTTTTAAAGTAAAGGACATACTGTACAGTTTATTGGTGTATGGTGTGCATTCTAGATGAAAATTACAGCACTTAATTGTTTACATATCTTTATTTATAGGCTAAGGAACTCTGCAGTGTATTCTGTGCTGTAGAACAGTCCAAAAGGTATTGATTTGGTTAGGTCAGATTAGGTTCGTTTGACTAACTCAGGTTAAATGTTAGGTTGCAACAAAGGACATAATTTTGGGTACAGTATTTCAGCCAATCTGATGGAAATTCCCTCACTTCCACATCCTCTTATGCCACTGGGCTGTTCACTTACAGTACCTTTCTGAAGGCAATTAATGAGTGACTTTATGAATGCTGCATGTTGCTGAGTAGGGATTTCATGTTGAAATTTGTGTGTGGGAAGATGGCAAAATACATAATTAGAACTCAAAATAGCCTGACCTGAAGTTCGAAATTTGTTTGACATGTTTATTTAAATATGCGCTCTCTTATTTTTGCCCTAGAAGGCGTCGAAGTCTTCCCGGAATCTGCATTCCTAAATCATTGCAGTTGAAGTCACTCACTGCAAGACGCTAGGGACTCAGAAAGAAAGTGGTGCTGGCTAGGGTGGCGTGGAAGAGGAAGACCCCAATTTAGTGGATCTTAGCGGAAGTTGTGTTGGAAGACACTGTAGTACTGTACAGCACTGCATTATGCTCAATTTTGGCGGTTCTCCCTGTCACCAGAAAGGGGTCCACCCTGTATCCCATCTTGTTGAGTTGCTGTTGTGCTCATTTCTAAGGTTTGTCTAAATATGTTAATAGTTTACTATTGCTTTCGCTCCGGATGGCCGTCGAGGATTGAAATGCAGTATGAAGGTGCGCACTGAGAATTCAGATGAGCTCTTGGCGTTTGGGGACACGCCGGTTTTGTTGATTTACCCGGCACATTTCGCATAATCTCTTGCTACGCATTTTTCTTGACGATTGATTGTGCCGAAGGCAATTTCTCTCGAAGTGGAAGTGATATGGAAGCGCGAAAATTTTGGTGATATCAAGTCTCCCCAACACAGTACGGTATATCTTTTTGAATGTTAATATTGTACAGTATACTTCGTTCATTCATGACGCTCCCAGGGTGTCATCAAAAACCTTTCATCTCTGAAGTTCGCGTTTATTCGATGACTCTAATGCCGAAATGTTCCGAATTTCTTCTAATTGGTGTGGTTGGTTGTTAGTTCTTTTCAGAAAGTATTTAGAGAAACATGAGTGGGGAGGTGTGGAGACGCAGAGGACCTCTCGTGGCCCCCATGCGCGACAACACTGGTGATATGCTGTTTCGGTACTTTTTGCGCAAGAAAGGATTTGTGGTAAGTTGAACTGCTATTTCTGTCATATATTCACCTTATATTCATCCTCTGAATTTCCGCAGCAACCTCACAAACGTCTGCCGAAAAAATATGTTCCGCCGAAGGCATTGACCAAATCTGAATGGCACGAAATGGTCGTTGCTCGTGCGTTGACGTCTCGTCAGGGGTCATTCAGGATTCCTCCTCCATTTATCCGCATTAAAACAGCACGTCAAGAATGGAAAATGTAAGTTTTAACAATAAATAGCGGATAACGGTGGATGCCTATCTTTTTTCTCCTCCAGATTTTTTCAGGTCATGAAGACTCTTGGCAAGAAAGATCCAATAATCAAGCGACTGGTGATGCCTTTGCTAGTTCGACTCGGCCTGCAGTTGTTGATGCAGGGTTATCCGAAAAGAGTAGTTCAAAATTTCATCTATCGACGGGTGCCAATTCCATCCAGAACAAGTGACCCCTACTTTTGCGTTAGAATGGATTACTCGAGAGTTTCAGTTTGGTATCTTGAGCGGCTCATTCAGCGTTCAATGTAAGTTCTATGAAAGATTTTTACGAGCCCTTGTGTCAATCTGTTGTTGTGTTTGACCCGCAGCTTATATCGGAAGTTCTTCTTCATAAAACCTGCGACCGCGGATGGACTGAATCGCTTTTTCCATCAAGTGTTGCCCATGAACATCTTTGCCCTCATGACGGATATTCCGTTCATTGTGTCTCGATCTGATGAGCAGAAGCTGATAGATTTTGAAGAACATTGCCGCATCGAAGACATGAAAGCTTTAGGGGATTTCAAAAATCCTGTTGATGATCCAAAGATGTGTCAGCATCGTTGGGGAAAATTTTTAGGACCCGCGAAGAAGCACTGGAGTTGCGACATATCCAAGTTTGCGACGAGATTCAAAACTGCCATGAAGTCTTTCCAAGATCCAGTGATGACCAGCGTCACCAGTGCAGATGTGAAGCTCATCACAGTTTCGAACTGCTCTAGTAGGTAAGCGGATTTGAATTCGCTCCGCTTGCAAATAATCAGAATTTTCCCCTCTTATTCGCAGTTTAACCTCCGCCACTGTTTCGAAAAATGGACTTCGAATGGGACTGGCGTACGAAGATGCAACGATAGAAATTTGGTCGCTTGATGAGAAAGTCCCGCTGATAAAGATTCCTTCACGGGAAACAGGATGCTTTGTAGATAAAGTATCCCCAGAAAGCAAAATGTGAGCAGTGTATTTGGTTATGAAGCCTTTGTGAAATTCGAAAACAATGTTTTGAAGATAGTTACATGTATATCGTGTACAGGTACCCAATTTTAATTTTGCGAAGAATTCTGACTTTTTTCAGCAGAAATGAACTTTCTGCAGCACTGAAAATTCGAGCGAAAGTACCCATGAAAATTCTTTCTGCGCAGAAGCTTTTCTGGCCCTAGTTGAATAATGTCCAATGCCGTGTTCGTTTTTTCTTACAGGAATTTTAATGAAGCTGAGCAGCACACAATGCAAGGAGGACATTCAGGGCCTATTTACAAAATAGCCTTTGTACCTTCAATCCCCAATGATCTAACTGTGTGTGATCACTCACGAAGTGGCTATCTTTTGTCTGCGGGTGAAGACTGTTCCATGAAGTTATGGCGTGTGGATACTTGTCGTCCAGTTGTTACCTATCGGTGAGTTTTTTTTTTTTCTAGAACTAGAATTTAATCCGTCAAATTGCAGTGAAATAATGTATGCATCTGCCCTATCGACCCCGCAGATCAAAAAATTTGAAAAATATACATTTAGTATTGAACGTATGATGTGCTGATGAATATCGTTGATGCACATTTTTCCAAAAATCTACTTTTAATACCAATTCTTGAGTGATGTGTCTCCCATTTGATAAAATACAATTCATTTATAGTGTTTTGATAAGGAGAGACACGTGCTGAAAACCTACTGTTGGTCAAATGTTGTGCCTTTGTGATGTGTTATGAGAATGATCTTTTGAATTTTCAGGGGCCATCATAAACCAGTGTTGGCCATGGTTACTTCTCCAACCGAAGACTATTTCGCCTCTGGGGGAATGGACAATCTGGTCATGATATGGTCTCACATGTATTCTAATCCTTTGCGAGTCTTCTGCGGACACAAAAATGCCGTGACTGTGAGTGATGTGAAATATATTTCTTGTTTTGGTTTGGATTAATAATTTTTTATATATCTCGCTTTAGTCTCTGGCTTTTCATCCAAATGAACAGTACATGTTCTCAGCATCGATGGACCGGGAAGTGAGGATGTGGTCAGTGGAGTATGGGAAGCTGCAGAGGTTGTTTGTCGGAAGCCAGGCTGGAATATCTAGTGTGGCGTGTTCTGGAGCTGGTAATCTGGTGATCTCTGCTGGGGATGACCGTAAGATTCGTGTTTGGGACATCAGACTAAGCAAGCAAGTCCGTGAGATCAAGGCTCATAATAATGCTATTAAATGCGTTGACATCAGTGCTGACAATCGCTTGGCTGTGAGTTGTTGCGTGGACGGAACCATGCGACTGTGGCAATTGTGTGGCAAGCTGTGAGTTTCTGCTGATTCCTAATTTTTTTAGTAAATTTTACGGTTTTTATTGATCTGTGAGGAAATATCACCCCAATACATCCGAGTTTGAACTTTGATCAAAAATGATTTCACGGACTTCAGCCAGCCTGTCCAGGAAGAATTATAGTTAAAGTACCTGCCACGCGATTTTTCTTGAATTTTGCCTGCCTTTTTGGGGGATTCTGCTACGAAATGCGGTACGGATTCACAGGTACTTTCACATTGGCCGCGTTTTCTACAGAATTTTCCAATTGTTGGTCCCCTTCATTGGGAAGATCACGGACGTTATAATGTCAACTTCAGGGTGCTAAAAATCCCAAAGCACCCAATGCCACAGTTGTTAAAAGTAAGAATTTTTACTCGTAGGACCCGTATTTGATCATTCGGGTTTTTTGTTCACCTGAGATAACCTGAAAAATTGGAACCCCAATTCTTTAATTGACACTTTCTTAAAGCAGAACCTGATAGGATTTTACACTCACGAACCAGCAATAATTGCCGAAAAGTTTTCAATTGGGTTTTAATGAAATTGCAAGCGACGAATTATAGTTCAGTAACATACAATATTGAGGAGGAATGCTGGCTCTTCGAGCGTTATGACAGAAGTATTCCGGTATTCTTTATACGCGAACAATGCCGAATGCTCTTACAGTGATTTGTTATGGTATATTTTGTTTCTTGAAGTTATCAACGGGATATGATGCTGAAAGATCATCAGATTTTCGGTTCCTCGATCATCGATGTCCGGTTTGCGAACACAGGATTGGTACTTGCTTATGGAGTCTCGAATGAAAAGTAATGGTGAGAATGTGAATGTTTAATTGTGCTCGAAGTATCGCGTGCATCTTGTAAAATGTTTTTCTGTTTTTTTTTTTTAGGATTGGCTGTGTCGGCGGGGAAATATGAAGTGACTTTCATTTGAAATCCCTAAAATGTGATAATCAGAGCAGTTTTTTTTTATATATTTTGACTTCTGCGATCTTATTTGTCAATGTTCATGTGGGAATTAAAATTTTTGTGAGAATAGTTGGTTTTTTCCGTGTGTAGGATGAGAGATTTAGTACTGGAAATATATTGCTCAATTTTCTGTTAATGTTGCAAGTGACAGTTGTCATGGCAGCGTTTTATTACATCGCAAGGGTTGTCTCCTCTCTTGAGTTAGTGCCAGGAAAATTCGTGTAGAATGAGTTATAAATAATGACCGACGTTGTGCAATTTTGCCATTTACGTGTATTCAGTATTTTGGTGGCAATGCCGTTGTGGTGAAAGTATACATGATGCGTTTACTGGTTTTTTTTACCATCAGGCATAAATATGATCGCGGAATCGATTTGCGAGCCTTGTCGTCGTCGATGTTTTTTGAAGAGTGAGGTGATTGGAAACGACGACCCTGTTATCAAGAAACCGCGATTGTCAAGTTGCACCCTTTGTCTTGGTATTTTGAATGAGACTGTCCTTGATGAAGTGATCAACGTTGCATTCCGGGCCTTGGAATCAATTGGATATGAATACACATCCCTGTGTTTCAATCTTACAACTCCGGTTGCCATTCTAGTTCGTGAAGCGTCGTTTAAAATTGCAAATTCGGGAAAGGCCTTACCAGACCTGAAAGAAACTTGGAAGAACATACTACAGTCAAGACTGGATGCGGCGGGAAGGACTTGTAATCTTGTGCGCAATGCCGATGAAGATGATACAGTTGTTTCTGTGAATGTCAAGTATACTTACGTTGATGACAAGAAAGAGTGTGAGAAGGTACGATCACTCGACCCTTCATTTGCTGCGAATCACAAGAAAGTACATGGAGTGAAGTATGACGAAAGGGTGTTGACCAGACTGTATGTCCAGTCTGTGCTAGATAATGCTTCATCGTCATCGATAGAAAAGGTTTTTCCATATCCCATGGGCTATGAATCTGAAGCAGTTTTGGGCTCAGTGGAAACTTCTCGTTGTTCGTATTGGCTAGCTGGAAGGTATATCAAACGTTCGCGAACTCTTCCTCAAACGCCGTGGGTTATTGATGGGGTTCGTAAGGGAGAAACATCTCTGGAGGAAATCATTCGCGACGGAATTCTGTCCTGCGTGCCGTGTGACAGTGTTAGGTTTTCCTCGAGTGGTCGTGAAGACGTGGATGTGAGATGCTTGGGTTCTGGTCGACCCTTCCTGTGCCAGATTATCAATCCAAAAAAGCTTGGCAAGGACAAAATGACTGCGCTCGCTGTGAAGAATGCCGTCAATTCATCAAGCAATGATATTCAAATCCGAGATGTTCAATTCGTTTCCAAAGCAGAAGCCGGTAACTTGAAAGAAGGCGAAGAGGAAAAGATTAAATGTTACGAAGCATTTTGTGTATCGCAGGAGGAAATCTTGCCCGAGAAATTGGATAAATTGCAAGAGCATTCCGGTTTGACAATAACTCAGAAAACGCCCATTCGAGTTTTACACAGGAGAAGTTTAGCTGACCGTGAGCGAGTTGTGCACAAGTTACAAGCTTCACCTTGTCCTGGAAGAGATGCAAGATTTTTCATATTAAAATTGGATACTCAAGCAGGGACGTATGTCAAGGAGTTTGTTCACGGTGATCTGGGACGGACTTCGCCAAATTTGTCTCAAATTCTGGGGGTCGCAACTGACATAGTTGCCCTGGATGTTGTTGCTGTGTTGTTTGATTGGCCCCCATGCCTTCAAGACTGATGTAACTGCTGTGAAGTTTTGAAAATGGAGTTTTTGTTGAACACCAGAAAATGGAAAAAACTTTTTATTTGTGTGATGTTTCATTTACAAATGCTGATGGGGAATCTTCTAAGAAAATACATAGAGGACCTCACAGATTGTAATTTACAGTATATAGTTGAATTGTCCCACTCCCTGATTATTATGGCGATTAAATTTCTGCTCTTCTTGCACTAGTGATATTTGTGGGAGAGGCATTCTTCTGTGATCAGCTACAATTCACAAGATTTATTTGTTGTGTGCTGATCACACTGATCTGTTTGCTTGATGAAGAGATCATCCTCAAATTCCTTGTATGCCAATTTTTTTCTGGTCTAGTGTGACATTCATCACCTGAATGCTCAATAACTTGTCATCTATATAAATGCAACCATCCCTCTTCTTGTAATTCTTACAATTGGCTTGAAATATGTTATATTGAATGAAGGACACCTTTTCTAAATTGATTGTTGATGTCATTGACTATTAATATTGCATACTTCTGTGAATGGAACAGAGATTGAGTTCACCCATTGAGGGAGGCTAAGATAAGTACTGTATTTTTATTCACAATATTTGTGTTTATCTTTTCATTAGCGTTTTCGTGTCTGTGACATAGTTGGCGAATTATAATCTAATTTTGTTATTAATGCTTGAAGATTATTAAATTTGTATGGCATGAATTAAAAATTTCAATATGCTTGATGACATGAATTGTAACTCTTCATGTGCTGAATTAACTTTCTAGTCCGACCGTACTCATTATAGTCCTTCAGGTCAGTTGTTGAACGCTGTTCATCATTCTAAAACGGTATAAAAAAAATTCCTGGAGTACCACGACGAATTCTGTGCAGGTATTATTCAAAATGTTAAAATTGTGTAGCTGATCTGGACAAAAGTGAGGCAATTCATAGGAATCAGAAGTAAAAACAGGACAAGGAGGCTGAAGAACACCGTCCAAATTCTTCGTGGCTAGTTTTAGTACGAATAAATCTCAAGTAGCGGAGTTCAGTGTTGAAAAGAATACTCTAGGTTAAGGGTCCATTGGTCCTTATAACTCAATTTGACTGCATTTTCAATCCTGAAAATGCATCATTGTCCTGAGCCATAGGGTGGATGTTGTCCAACGATCCCACCTCACAAACATGAACGTGTCTAATCTTCCCTCAAGTAAAACGTGCTGGAGGGGGTGACGAAGTTCGCTCATCCAAGAGAACTTCGGAGAGATTTTCGTTCATTTCCTAAAAATTACTGTGCTTGAGTCAGTGACTTTGTCGAAAGGAGCAGAAATGATTACTTAGCATAATTGAGCATGCAGCCGCAGGTGAAGAGCGTGTGAATTTCCGAAAGTTGCGTCTGTTTGAAATATTCTGGAATCGCAGATGTTCATCCGTGATATTTTATTGTGTGAGTTCTTATGAGATGAATTGTTGTAATGGCCGATGAGCTAGCCCCAGCGGATGCCGTAGGCACGACGCATTTAACGGATGGCTTCACGGGAAGGACGATCTCAGCGTTCGAAAGAGGTAAATTTATGTTTGTTTCACGTCATTGTTAAGTATTTTCCATTCTTTGCTTGTCTTGCAGAACTCTACTTCCTGATTGCCAAGTACCTGACTGCCGGACCTTGCCGAAATACTGCAAGAGTACGTGTTAGCGTGGAACTTTCGCAATGTTCGGTTTTCTCTAATTTATTTTTGTCATCATCCAGGTTCTGCGTGAGGAGCTAGAAAGAGAGCATGTGGTACCTCGTCGCATTGATTGGCTAGGAGGGAGTCATCCGCAATCATTCGAAGAATGGGTTCGTATATTTCCGATGCATGTGACGAGAGGAAGTTGTTGGTTATTCGAATCGGCTTGTATCTTCGTAGGAACAAACATTAGGTCGAGAAGTTCGTCCAGATCATTTGCGGAGGCTTCTGGATCAGCTCAATCCTCTTCTCCGAGAGCAGCAATCGATACCGGGCCCTAGAGTTCATACTTTAATTGGTTCAGGAAGACATACACTTCTACGATCTCAAAGCAGTAAGGTTTTGAGTGCCATTAGTTCTTCTCTGGAAGTATATCATGGGTCGAATTCTACAGATGATGCGCTATCTTCGGAGCGACTTGCTGTGCGTCTCCGAGGATGTCCACTTCGATTCCATCCAGATCATCCAGCATCTTCCAAAGCAAAAATAGGTATGATATTTCGGCTACGTATTTTCCCTTTTTCTCGCCACTCCTCTGTCGAGAAAAAAGCATCCAAGAAAAAACGGGACAGTTGTTCTATGGGATTAACTTCGGTCTCATCTGAAACTTCTCATTAGGTCTGTAATGTCCTGCTTCATTTCACTAGTGGATTGAAACCCTGAAGCGTTAAAAATTTTTATTATAATTTTTTTTCGAAAGTAATGAATAATGAAGATAGGAAAGTGACGAGCACTTCATTCCATGGAGCAATCGGGTTAATTCTGCAGGATGCCTTTCTCCCAGGGAATTTTCGTTTGCGTGCTGTTCTTCGTGGACCTTCCACTTCATTTTGGTGTAATTTTCAGTTGATATCCTTCGAAGTCGTGAAGTCAGTGGAGGTTGGCCATTCGCGAATGGGTCTGGGTGTGTTCCCAACCACCTCGTGAGCGGGATAACATTCCTTCGTCGGACCATTGGTCACTTGTCTGCTGTTTATTGCTCAACATTCGATCGAACCGGCCGATTCTTAGTCACCGGTGCTGACGACTCTTTAGTGAAAATTTGGAAGGTGTTCGATGGTCGGCTCGTGGCTACACTGCGTGGTTGTGCTGCCGAAGTTACGGACATAACGATTAATGAAGAAAATACTTTGGTCGCGATTGGATCGAATGATAAGTTGGTCCGTGTTTGGTGTCTCGCCACGGCCACGCCGGTGGCGATTTTAACGGGTAATGCTGTGGTCACTTCTCTCGCATTTTGTCCTGCGGTCGGCGAACCGGGTAATGCGGAACGCTACTTGATCCATACGAGTGCAGATGGGGCTGGAACTGTGTACTTCTGGAGTTACACTTGTGATGCTGATGGGAGGAACGCCAAGTTCAAGTGAGTTTTGCTCGAAAACATACGAAAGCTAGAATTCTGCCCTACTCTCAAGTCTATGTATCGTTTCAATCTCTAGCCTTGTAGCATTGTGTTTTCATTCCGAATGAGTGATTTTTTGAAGAGGTTTTTCGCGATGATTTTGAATTTGACCGAAGTTCCTCGACAGACGCGTTTGTCGCGGTACCCGATGCCGTCAGTGATAAAATTCCATTGATCGTTGTGCATGATATACAGATTTCTTGGATGTAATTAGTATTCAGTGTAGTGCAAATTTGTTATTACAGTACAGTACTTGAAAGGGCGACATTACAAGAGGAAACACGGTTATGGATTGAAATTTCAAAAGAAAATTTTGTTGCGATCTTGTGCGCGAAGTAGCGAATTTCTCAACTGATGATTCTTGAAAATATTCGGGTAATTTATGCTTAGTGCTTGTTCTATTGTTCTGCTGGGGAAAGTTTTGTGAAGTAACCTGATGATTGTAACTGATCGAAGTATTCTTCACGTTTTCGATTCAGTTGTGAGTTTTCGTAGCGTTGATAAGTGTGACAGTGAATGCATGAATCAACAACACGTTTGCTTTTTTTACAGCTTGCAGCCGGAAACATTTCTCGAAAGAATGCGACCTGGACAAGCAAAGATCATTTGCGGCGCTTTCTCAATGGGTGGACATTTTTACGCCACAGGAAGCGCAGATCACAACGTGCGTGTTTATCAGCTGTACGGCAAATTTCCAGATGGAACACTTTGCGGACCGAAACGAATTCTCGAGCAAGAGCAACACACAGATGACGTGAATTCCATTCAATGGGCTCAGGTATTGAAAGAGTTCCGTTTACTCAAATTTGATTAATTCAATTGTTCAGACACATCTTGTTGAGAGAGAGGAGAACATGTTTGTGTCATCGAGATTACGGTATATGAAAAAGTTATATTTCTTATTCCCCAGCGTTCCGTGAGATTCATTTCTGGGTCAAACGACGGCACGGCGATCATTTGGACCTACTCGAAACGTCAATGGAAAACTTTAAAGCTGGAGATGGCCACTGACGTCGACGACAGCAACAACTCCGGCACCCGTGACTTGAATTCCCGCGCAACTTCGACGTTTTCGTCATCGTCGGCTCGTGCCGGTCGTTCAAATAACTTGAATAGCAATCAGAGAGAAGGAGCAGCAGTACCTCGAAGTCAGATGCAGAATAAACATCGAGTCACGATGGTTGCTTGGATGAATGACGATCGGTTGGTCGTCACCGCTGTTGCGACGTATTTGATCAAAATTTGGGACTCGCGCACTGGTGACTTGACCTGCGTGCTTTCTGGGCATAATGACGAAGTTTTCTGCTTGGAAACTCATCCTTTCGACAACCGGCTGTTGCTTAGTGCTGGGCATGACGGGAACATTAAGGTGAGCGATTTTTTATGCTTTCATTTACAGTTTTAGAGTAATTTCTCTCACTTCTGTGTCTTGCAATTTTTAGCCTCAGTGTCTCTTGATTGTTTCAAAAGAAATAAGTCTGATACTCTCGTGCAAATGATTTATAATTTCAAGGCCGAAGCGTTTTTTTTAATGCCTGCGTGTGCAGAAAAAATGTGTTCGCAGAGAAGTTACGTATGGGTTACGCCTTCGGAAATGTAGTTGTGTTGACGTTTTCAATTGTTCTAATGTTGAACAAGTGCTTCAGACATGCAAGAGAATTTTTGTGTGACTTGTTCGTATGTGGATGCAGTGTACAGCACTCACAAATCTCTTCCTTCTTCAAATTTCAAGTACAGTATGTTAGGCAGAAATTGGAGCAAGTATCTCCTGTTTTTCGTTTACGAAGCTTGTTTTTTTTTATTTTTAGATCTGGGACGTGACGAGTGCAGTCGGAGCTCGACGCGGGAAACGCATGCCATCTCCCTTGTGGGAATTCACCAACACGTTTCACGCTGTCGACGAAGCCGACTTGGACGCTGGTGTCGAGCGACGAACAGTGCTGACGACCGGCGGTGTTTTCGACGCCCGATGGTCGCCCGACGGTTCCCTTATTGCGTGCACCGACTCGCACGGTCACATCATTCTCTACGGCCATGGAGTGAACGTGCAGCGTTACCAACGGGTGCCCGGGGAACTGTTTTTCCACACGGATTACCGACCGTTGATGCGGGACGCGAATAATTACGTGTTGGACGAGCAGACTCAAGTGGCGCCGCACTTGATGCCGCCGCCTATTTTGGTGGACATGGCCGGGAATCCGCATCCGGACGAGTTTCAGTATTTGGTGCCCGGAAGGGATACGGGTATGAGAAGAATTTCGGAAAGAGTGTCAGAAGGGGATGAGGAGGAACAAGCTATGCAGCAACCTGTTCGTCGGACGCAAGGGGATCACTCAGTTTTGGATCTAATGATTGAACGGCTCGCTAGAGAACAAGGCAAGGCTCTTCTCAGCGTTTTTTGTAGAAATTTTTCTTCGCCGTTTATTTTTTCTACTGGAACTGAATTCCAGTTCAGGATAACCTCATATGAAGTAGAAGCTCGTTACAACGAAGCGTTTGGGACTTTTAGAAAAGCTTCGTTATTAACGAATTTTCCTTAAAACGAAATTAAAATAATATTCTGGCTATTTGACAGAGATCAAACAAATTAATTCGTTGTAATCAATAATTCTTGATGTCGAGATTTGTAGTAAACGAAATTCTATTATAGTACTTAAGATCGAGTTTCTGACTTACAAGAAACATTTTTCGTCTCATCGTCGGCGTATTCCGTTGGGAAGGTCCAGTTTCGATTTAGTTCGTTCTTCGGAATGCCTCTCTATTTCTGTCTAAATGGACATTTTTCGGTTGTTGTTGAGTCAGTGCAATTTCCAGTCTCGTTTTTTTGAATGCGGGGCTAACACATAATCGTCACGGTCGCGATTGTTTTCCTCTTTTGATGTAACTGCATCAAGAATAGCTTTGACTGCAAATTTTTGTAGCGAAGACGAGCTATTTTTAATAAACTTTCGCATTTTTATCAGGTCTACATGGCAACCAAAACCAGATGTCTGACCCGCGACGGAGAAGAACCACCACTTCATCCAGTCACGCGTCCATCGACGGAGAATCTCAGGAGGGAAATGAAGCCGAAGAAGAGCCAGAATCGGATGTGGCGAATTTGCCAGTGTCTCCACCATTGTCGCGACGGGCACAGGCTCATGCCTTGAGATCCGAACGAGTCGCAAATCGTGTCAACAGAGTGCATAGTTCTGAGCGGTCCAGTAGGGATAACGACAGTGTATCCCATGCTTCGGATACGAATCGGGAAGGGGAATCTGAAGCGGTAAGTTCTCAGAGATGGAAAAATACCTCTTTCGAACCTTTTTCGAAATGTGTGTGTTTGACTGAAAATTTTGAACTTGTAGCTTGTGCATGAATCACGGTTAGTAGACTTTTTGCCTGCGTGGGAAATCGTTTTAGGAATCTGTTGAAGTTTGAATCTTGAACAAACAGGAACAAACTGAACTTGGACGCTTTCTACTGTAATTTCGTTTTTTTTTTTCACAAGCTCCAGAAAGGCGATAACTATGAGAAAAAGCCTCGAACTTGAATTTTGAGTATATCAATTGATACCTGCTCCCCAATTATTTTTTCTTTCAATCGCTCGTCTGACGCTTGCCATTTTAAAACTTTATTGCTAATTTTGAAAAATTTCCTGTAAAATTAAACTGGCTGAATTAGCGTGCAGCATTTACTCAATTAGCTTGCCCACCTTTTTTCTCAAATTCAGGTGGAGAAAGAGGGGGGAAAGCCATTGGCAGGTATACATTTTTCAAAAAGTTTAATAAGTTCAGACGTGCATGTACGGTACTTGATTCTAATGGGAAATTTTGGACCGATTCCGACAAGAAAATTTCCGAGATGTTACAAAATGTGAGATGCGTTTTAGTAAATTCAAATTCAATTTTCTTTCTCACGATGGTCCATAGGAGGAAGCTCAAGAAATCCGTCCTTTGGAGGCTTGCTGTCCCATTTTCGTGCCGAAGTTGTCATCAGTTGAATTCAGAAGAATGACTCGTCATAGAGAAAGACTAAAAGCCGAAGAGATGGACCAATTCAATCGAGAAAGCACAGCCATTTCCACACCAAGCTCAACGGCGAATGCCGGTGGAATCTCGTCTCGTGCAACTGCCAACGTTAGTGACGACTCTGACTCTGGCGACGGTCGTCGACGCATCCGTCGCCCGACTGTCGACCGTCGCCGTCGCAACGACGGTGAACGCGGTGAAGGAGAAGAAGAAGCAACAGCCACTCCGACCTCTTCGTCATCTGAGGAAGAAGAAGACGGATCGGATTGGGAGAACCGTGAAGCAGCCCGGAGTGCAGCTCGGACACGACGGCGAGCCCTCAGGAGTCAACAGCCGAGCAGAGCGTCGTCTTCACGGCGGTCGAGATCTCAACGTGCTCGACGGAGGCGGCGTCAGGAGTTGTACTCAGCGGCGGCATCTGGCGGACGGTCGTCGTCATCGCGGCGGAATTCTCGGGCGGCGGCGCGGAACGCGAGGAATCGTCTGGCTGAGGCGGAGACGTCTGGTGGTGAGCGGCGGAAGAGTAGTAGAGCGTCGAGACGAGTGCCGCAGAGGGACCAATCTGACGAGGCGACGGAAAGTGAGGAAAGTGTGAGGGGCAGAGACGAAATCCCGGAGCCTTTTCTGCCGGAACATACTCCGTGGTTGAGCGGGGACCAACCTGTAAAAACTCCGGTTAGTTAATGTTCATATCGCCTTTATTTAATTTGTTTGCTAAACTCAATCTTCCTGCGATTGTGGCTTGTCCTGGGTTGATTTTATCGAGCTCCCTGATACTTCTCGTGTGAAGTCTGAATGACAGATTTTTTTATTTTTATTCTGCAGTATTTCCCTCAAGTTGGCGACATTATTGTATACATGTATCAAGGACACAAATTGTACCTGAAGGCAGTTATGGAAAGGAAGCTTTACAGTCTAAACCCTGAAAGGATCCGAAGTTATCCTTTTGAAACTGTAAGTACTTTTTACGAGCTTTCTCTTCTTGTTGGTCGTTTGACACACTTGAGTGCGTGTCGGTTAGTCTGTGTTGGGTAGTTCTAAGGTTTCCGAAATTAGGCTGCCGTTTCATGAAGAGGGCGTCGTTGGAAGAGAATAATTTCAGGGAACGTCGTATGACTCTTTTCCCTACATTTTATTGCAATTTTTATTCGAGTGAATAATTGAAAATCGTGCAAAGTAAAAATCATTCCTGAAACATATTTTCATGTTGAAAAAAGGGTGTCATTTTTTAAACCTCGTGCTGGTAAACAATCATTTTTTTCAGCAATTCAATTCCTGCTTTCTTGAATTAATCAATTAAACCGAAAGTGTGCCAAAATGTAGAGAGTAAATCCTTGCATTGTTCCCAAGAATTCCAGATTTCTCTATGCACAGTACAGAATTTTCTTTCTAAAATTGCAGACAAATATGCGAGAACGTTAGAGCTGTATGATATAAAATACTTTTGAACGGATGCCGAATTTTAAAAAATGATTTGATTGAATAAAAATTTAAATAAACTGATAGACGAGGTCATTTATTGCCCCGTGGATTGAAATTTTCAAATCAATTCTTCGTTGAGTGGCAGCTCAATTGTGGAAATGTTAGCACTGCTTATGGTATGCCTTGAGTATTGAAATATTTGTTGATTTTCTGAATGAAGAGCGGACCAAATTCAGTACCGAAGGTCGTGGCCAAAGTGTCAGGAGTGACGTTCGATCTGAAACCCCCGCGGCTAGTCAGCGTGAAACTCAACATGATCGACAACGACGGCGAGGGTCGCGTGCGGGACGACGCCTTCTCTGTCAAGTACCACGACGTACCGGGTGTCGTGGATTTCATTGTCCTCAAGCAACATTTCGACGATGCCATGCGACGGCAATGGCGGGAAGGTGACCGTTTCTGCGTTGATTTCGACGGCGACCGAAGTTTTGGCGTCATTGTCGGTCAGGATCCGTACGAACCCGAAGTGCCTAGTTCTCCGTTCTGTGGGTTTTGCGTTCGTTGGGATCACGGGGAAATGGATAGATTGAGTGCGTGGGACATGGAACCCTGTCCTCCTGAAAGTGAATCGAGACGGTGAGAATTTTGCCGTTTGTTTTTGGTTTGTTTGTCCGATAATTTATGCCTGATTGAAATGGATTATGTGGAATTCTTTCTCGCTCTGCTTCTTGTTTAGGTATTCTTCGCGACGAACAGCAGTCACTCCGCGTACATCCACACCGTATTACGTCCCTGCGACAGGCGACTGGCCGCATGGAAACGTGGATTCTGAGAAGACGAGAATCGGGTTCATCCTGAAGCAAGTAAGCTGACGATTATTTTAGGCACGCGTCCCATTTCGTTTTAGGGTTTCCCGGAAAAATACACGTTTTCAGGTTATATCATGTATGCAAAGTTTTCAAGGACCACCGATGGCCGTCCACGGAAGCGTCGACGAGAGAAAACGATGAAATTCGTTTATGCGGTATTTAAAAAAGCTAAATTGCTTGCACTGGTCCTTGAGCTTGACCATTTAAATAAAGCTAGTTTCAAAAATGTATGGGATGATATTCCATGCACAGGGTAAACTCATTTTCAAACTTGAAGGGTCGAAGTAGCTGTGGGAATGTTATATTAGCGTATCTTTAAAAACCTGTGTAGATTTTGATTTCTCAGATTAGATTTTCCACGGCGGGAGTCGTTTTTTGAATTTCAAGGGTCCCAATTTATTGACATGTTTTTTTTCTTTAAGGTCATGAAGTTGCCATTGGCGAAACCGTTCACTAAACCAGTGAATCTCGACGAATTTCCGGATTATGCAATGAGAATTGAGTATCCTATTGATCTTTCATTGATCCGTCGGAGGCTTGAAAGCGGGTTTTATCGTCGAGCTGCAGCAGTGCTCTTCGACGTCTCGTACATCGGGAAGAATGCGGCCAAATTCAACGTCGAGGGCTCTTTGATAGTCTACCACGCGCATTTCATTTCTGAGCTCTGCAAACGATTGATCATGTGAGTGAATATTTGGAGTACGGTAATTTATGAATATGCCGAGTTACTGCAATGCCCCTTGGTTAACTGTGTAGCGAAGTAAAATATTTGTGCTGAGGTAAATTACGCCCTTCCACGGAAATATCCTTTGGCTGAAAGTGTATTTTATCTAGTGATGTAAAGCTAATAGGTACAGTATGACTAATTGCTTCCAGCCTTCGAAAAAGTCCTGTAAACAAGTGATACGAAGACATCCAGACTGGCTTATTCTGTTCCAGATTCCTTAAAAACCTCCCGCATGCATTTGAAAAATAAATTATTGGAAAATGTATGTTCTACATGAAAGGTAAAGAAGCCGCGGAAATTATCGGGAAGATGAAAAGCTGGGCTCAGCTCAGTTAATAGTTCTGGATAGATCTTGTTCTCTTTTGAAAATTGATCGGACAGCGAATCTTCTCCATGCAACTTCGATTTTTGCTGCTGGGAAAGTGCTGTTTATTTATAATAATGTACTTTGAACGGAAGAGGGGTTATTTTCTGACGCAAAAATCTATGGCAGGCTGACTGTAATGGGCAAAAATCTATCATGCGAAGTGTCCAATACAGTATCTAAGGTACTAATACGTCAATCCTAAATGGTGCAGTGATGTCCTTGACCAAAAAACAAAACAAAAAACAAGAAGCAACCTGTAAGCTCTTGGCAAGATTACTGGCATTCTTCACCCTAGACTCGTGTCCCACCCACTGTAGAGGAAAAAAAGAATCCTAACATCTGAAATTCTGTCTTCTCAAGAACACCTAGTGAAACGGTACAGTCAGTGTACGACAGTCTCGTTGAGCATTATGCCACTGAGAATGTTGACCTCGGCTTGGAACACCTCGAGCCCGTTTCCTCGACTGAAGATGGCGAAGAAGACGACGAGGAAGACGAAGAGGGCGAAGATGCGGCAGAGGACGAACCGGAAGAAGATGAAGAAGCGGAAGACGAAGAAGACGGTTGTCCAAGAGGAGTCACGCGAAGTTCTCGGCGAAGAGCTGAACCCAGTTCTCGAACAGCATCCAACCGAACTAATAATACGAATGTAAGTTCATTTTTATACTACCGCGTTTCGCCGACAATATGGGGGTTGTTTCAGGTGCTTTTGTCAATCATGAGTTCACTTTTTTGCTGAAGGACGTACGGAGATGAGCTTAATCCTTGAATATTTGACCATTTTTTGATCACTATCAAAACTTTTGCTTATCCTGTTGAAATGGATAGGGGATAGAGAGTTGCCGTCATTTTAAAACTGGATTTTCTGAGATTTGTTCTTTTTTTTAGACAAGGAGGACGGATTGGCGGGAAGCGTGTTTGGCAGCCATGAGACAATTGATGCGGCACGAAGACGCTGGCCCATTTTTACAGCCTGTTGATTTATCGATATACGAGGATTACCTGGATTGCGTTGAGGATCCGATTGATTTCTCGACGATTGAAGAACGGTTGAGTGGCCCGAGGCCGGTGTATAGGACCTTTGCTGATTTCCGTGAAGAAGTGGAGCGTGTGTTTACGAACTCACGGCTTTACAACACCAACCATCGATCTCGGGTGCATTTTTTTAAATAAATTTTTAATGTGTATTCTTAACTCGAAGGAATAGCTCCGAAGTTGCTGTGGTTCAGCTGTCATTTTAGAAAAAATGTATCTGAAAATGAGTGTTATTGAGCAAAATATGGTCTTTATTTCCTTCGTTTCTGTGATAATGTGAAGAAATTCTGTAATCTTTCTTGAAGACATATATTTACTTTTTTTGGGTCGGATCGAAGTTTCTTCCACACCTGATAGTGGAAAGATGCTTGATTCGAATGATCATTCTCGGTACAATGAAGGAATTTTTCAGTGCAATAGAAAAATTTTTGCGAGGCGAAATATATCCTAACGGAAATTTGTGAATCTTCTCATTCTTCAGCGCTTCGTTTCTTAAACAGGAACAAAGCGTAAAAACGTATTTTACTACCCACAAATTTTTTCATGACTCGACAATTTTTTATGCATTCAATGGAATAAAGATTACGATGAAATGTAGGAAATTAAGTCATGACAGGTCTCTTGTAATCTTTCAAGTGGTACAATGCGGCGTCGGAAATTTGGGAAGACTACAATACCTGCGATTAAGCACAGCTTCTTGAATACACAGAGCTTATATGAAATCGATCATATTTTCGAATGTAAAAATAATCCGTGTTGCATGATTTTTTTTTTGTAGATTTGGACGATGACTCTCCGGTTGCAGATGTACGCCAAAGGTATTCTCAACAACCTCGAAACGTCGTTCAACCAATCCCGCTCGGAGCGCCGCCGTCAGCGGTCCCGGAATAGTGCAAGCAGGCGGCAAAACCGGCGCCGGAATCGTGTCTCCTCTGAAGAAGACGAAGACGAGGTCGGAGAAGAAAACAACAGCGCTGGTGAAACTACCGACGAGCGTGACGGTATACGAACGAGGTCAAGGAACGGTCATGTTGCTCAGCAACGTTCCAGTAGGCCGTCTAGGAGTCAGGCCAGCGTTCCTGCCGTTTCCACGCGGTCTTTGCGAGCTTATCGGCATTCTGCGGATTCTCTTCGTGAGTTTGTTAAAATTTACCGAATTTGTGCGAATTTAGCCCGCATGCTGTTTCATTAACTTTTATCATCGAGAAAATCTGTTTTGTTTTTTGATTGGGTTTAAATTTCTGGCGTATTTTCCCTACTATTACTTTTGGGCCAGCTGTTCTGAAGGAACAGTGAAAATGTTGGAATCAAATGGGATCTAGATTTCCACATTCGAAATGCTTTTTTAATGTTTTAAAATATGAACCCAGTTGGTTGTAATGTATATTCAGCATTTATTTTCGGCCATAAATTTGAGATGGTCTTTAAACCGTTGTTTTTGGACCAACTCTCTTGGAAAATGGTACGATATCTATTCGAGTGAAGCGAAATAATAATTTCCTTAGGACACATGAGTAAGGGCGGCAAAAGGGAATGGGCTCATTCACTCGAATCTGGACGTCTACATTTTGTAAAATTTCTTCCTCTCTTCGCCAGTCTTGAAAAGAATGATTTCGCAGCTGTTTTTCGTGGATCCAGCTTTTCTAAAGTATGTCGAAGTTAGCTTTTTTATTTTTGCAAAAATAAATTCAGATTACAGTTGGTCCATCTTGAGTAAACATGCAATCTTATTTTGTCCGAAACGTCCGCTAGATGTCGTACCCAAAGTGATGCGAAGGTGCAGGACAGTATTCGAAATGGCTAGTCCGTTCCAGATTTTTTTTTGGATCCTTTCATAATTTTTTGAATACATTTTTGAATAACTAGGTGTTCGTGATTTTTATGAAGTATCAAAAATGAAAATAACGAAAGATACAGTACTGAAAAAAAGGTAAGAACGCCTATTGTATACTTGGACCGAACTAGGGATACTAGACCGAAGAGGTCTAGTATCCCTCTTCGACTAGAGACCAAAATCCGAAGCAAAAATTAGTGGCAGTCGGAGTTCGTGGTTCGAAAAGGTCGCTGTGTGAGTTTTTCGCTATTCGGGGTACCTCCGTAACATAATCAAACTCTTCCTCTTTCCGCTGTCTTTTGCCCTTACTTGCACAGGAAGCTACACGAAGAATTCAAAAATGCTGAATTATTAAAATGACTCACCTGTTTCCTCTCGAATTTCAGATTCCAGCGAAGAAGCTGGTAATGGCCATTCAAATTCCAATGACGTCTCAAGTTCAGTCGGTAATCAAAACGTGTCTAGCACTCGAAGCTCGGACGAAGGATCGTCACGAACACTGTCGAATCGATCCCGACGTCGCACTAACCCTCCTACTCGCCTCGCGTCCGACTACATTGTCGACATCCGTTCTCAGGCTCCGTCTTCTCGCCGTCGGCGGGGCTACCGGTCCTCTAGTGAAGAAAATGAGGAAGAAGAGGAGTCCGTCTCTCCACCCCGCCGGGTTCGATTCCGCGTCCAGAAGCAGAAAGTTGAAGAAGAGGAAGAAGAAGATGACGAAGAGGAAGACGGAGAAGAAAAGAATGAAGAACACGATGAGAACGAAGATGAAGAAGAAGAAGACGAAGAAGAGGAGGAGGAAGAAGACCAACAGCAGCAACAACAACCGAGGTCGACTCGCCGGCGGATCCCGAAGCGGAAATTGAGTGACTCTGAAGAAGAGGAAGAAGACGAGGAAAGAACTCGGTCGCGTTCAAGCAGTTCTAAAAAGAAGGCCAAGCGTTCAATTGGTCTGGATTCCTCAGACGATGAAGAAGAAGAGGAGGAGGAAGAAGACGTCGGAGCGAGGTCGGGGCGCCGTTTGCGGAATCGACGCCCCCTGACGTCGCCGAATAACTTCGATGACGACAGACCGACTAGGAATGGACGTGAAACTCGTTTCAGAGGGCAGAGAACGGTTCGCTATCAAGAAGAATCTGATAATGAAGATATGCCCAGGCGAACGAGGCACAGATAGCAGCAGAAGTGAGGTGGTTTCACTGTTCTGCGCTTTGTGGGACGTATATTGTTTTGTTTGATCCCCAGTGAACTTTTTTTTTCTTCGAAGCTTGAACTGTTTCTTGAATACAAAAGCTTTTCGAAAGTCACGCGAGTCGAGATATAACTTGGCACTCAATTCCCTGAAATGTATTCTTTAGTAAAATTATGAAGTAGTTCCATAATATTTCTTTCAATATCAAGAAAGATTTGAGGGACCTTCAATGTTTACCTGAAGTGAGCATTACGATTAAATTGAAAGAAATGTGAATATGTAGAAGTGTGTTGATGATCTCCTAATTTAAAGTTACCTTTTTCTCATTGAGGCTTTTTGCTGGAACTGCCTCAGGGATTCCCAGGTTTCTTTCTGCAGGAGCCGTTTTCAGAACCGTATCAGTAATTCTCGTTTTTGACGCTTTTTATGAGGGAAATCACCGACTTAGAGAGTTTATCAAGGTTATCGGCCATTTCTTGCGAGAAATCCTCCGAGCGCACAAAAGTGGGGCGGAGATTTCATTCATTGAGCATGATCTGTAGAGGATAGTGCGAAGAAATATTTACTTTTTGTCAGAAATAAATTTGATAAAAATGGGTAGTCGTGGTTCATCCGATTACAATCAGGGTTTGCAGGGGATTTGTGAGACTTTTTTGACAAGCCTCTTTTATCTTGATTCCTGGGTCGACTTCATTAGTCATTAGAACTTCGGGTGTCGTGAAAAATTTGCAATTAAGCTCTTGGAAAGTGAGGATTTCTCGACCGTTGTCAGTTGTGGTGAAAAAAAGAAAGTTCTCTGAAGTTGAAATTTTATTTTTGGTGATATAGCTGAAGAGGGAAAGAGAGACAAATCAGTTCGGGGAATGGTTGAACGCAAGGGTCGGTCGTCTTTGTGGCGCCTGTGGTCTGATGATGCAATGGCGGAGCACGTGTGTCCCACGAAACGCAGAATAGTTTCGGCATTTTGGTTTTTTTTTCTACTGTCTGGCCCGCGATTCGCGTGTGAATTTTTTGCTTTCCTTCTCCTGCGGTGTTCCTTCTTCCCGAAGTTATATTCTTCCTGTTTTTCTTTTCTTCGGGTTACGCAGGAGAAGGAAACGTTTTTGATCTTACTTTTTATTATAGTGTTTGTGATTTGCTCCTGTCTCAAAAAATTTAGCTTGTGTATGGATTTGTTTCCTTGCTGTTTTTTTTTTTTGGCTCTCGTGAATTTTATATGTTTTCCCATTCTGTATGCGAAGTAAAAGTCACGTGTATGGTGGGGAACGTGGAGAGTTTCCTCGGTGCAGTTCTTGTGGTTTTAATGTGAGATAAGTTCAATTAATGTCTTTTTCAACGATTTTTAGAATTCAGTATGTTGCAGGGTTTGTGAATTACTTACTTCATCTAATTGAGTTCAGGGCTCTTAATTTCCTCATCCTAGTTGAAAAGGGTACACTGCACAATTATTATGTGCAGCTGCACCTCTCTAAGTCAAATTTGAAAGGATCCCCAAAAATATTTGAGTTGACAAGTTTTTTGGTTTATACTGTATAGGAAGGTTGAAGTTGAAAAGGTTGTATTTTAGAATCATCGCATTTATGTCGAAGCATTAGAATGAGTTGGTTAGCTTTTCTTTTAAAATAAAATATTTGGCTAGCCATTTGATGAGTTAAATGGAGGATGATTTGAGGGTTTGTTATACTGTATGTACACAAGGAACAAGAGGAAGGTCAGCTTGTGAATAGTCTGGATATATGTCTAAATTCTCCAATAACGGTTTTGGTTTATGATCCAATAAAATTTTGGAAATTGTGTCATCTGCAGTTCTGACAGCTGTTGTGCCAAGCATGTTGAGTTTCCAGGAAAAACAAATTGGCAAGGACACTGGACATCCTAACACTTTGCTTAGCCGCAGCATCTGTCAAGAATGCCACATCCATCAGCATTTTTGGCATTAATTTTGCAAGGTGAATTTTGCACTCCGCTAATTTAATCAATCTCAACAGCACACTGTTGCAATTTACTGCTCCTGTCGTCTATGGCAGGGATTTTTGAGGCATTTACTCCTTTTCAACCCCAGGGCAGTTGCATACCATCAGAGTGACTTAAAATGTGAGTTTAATTACATCATGATCATCTGGGATTTCCTTCTCCCTAAAATATTTTTTAAATCCTTAAAATTCAACTCAGAGATTCGATTATATTTGAAAAGTTGGTTCCCTTATTCCCCATGGAAATTTAAAAAATACAGCCCAAGATACAAATACTTCACAGAATATTAATTGGTTCTCAATAGTGTTGAAAAATCGCCCTCCACAAAGCACAAGCATCTTTTGAAAAATAACACCAGGATCTTCCCTGAAACACCGTCTGTTGTTACAGATTAACATTTTGTCGAAAGTTCTGCTTTAAATAATCAGCAAGTTGATGAATAATCTCACCATCACACATATTGAAATTCTCAATGATTTTTTTCAAAACCAGCAAAGGCAACTCAGACACTGATACAGTGCAATTCTCAACCATTTCACTCATGTTTCCTACAGAGGCAGAAATGCGCTTAAAACAAAGTCAAACAATACTCAAAATACAATGGACAAATTCTTTAAAAAACTCTCACTGACTGAAGTGAGAAATGTCAAAGGGCATGCTCTCAGCTTCATGAGTGGCTTCTTCCGAACGGACCCAATCACTCGGAATTTCCACAAAATCTGTCACTTCTTCCACATTCTGGCAATACAAGCGTCCCCAAAATGTCGAACCTGGGATGAAAAAATGGGGCTAGAGTTATTACAGTACAGTACAGTATTTTTTTCAACAGGTAGGTTCAGGCAAATAAAAAAAATTGCTGAATAGAGAAAATTGTTGCAGACAACATGGTTGTGAAGAGTTCACCTGCATAAGGATTTTACCGGTTCTGAACAGGATTAAATGTTTCCAACATAGATGATACTTCAAAAATTTCAGTAATGATCCTGAAGTTATTAATAGTTAAAAACCTTCGAGCCCATATTTAAATTGTGAGGGGTATGTCAGAATGTTTCCCTATGCCAAAGAAATTTACTGAAAAACAGCCTCTTTTGTCAAGAAAGGGGCAAGAAACGCAGCCCAAAGAAATCAGTACAACATTAAGAAGACATCCTCCTAACTCAATGATTCAGTCCAAATCTGACCGAGTTTAATAATTATAATATTGATAAAAATTTGAAACAAAGTCTGTAATTTTCTTCACAATGTTCCACAAATCTGGCATGCTTTCAGAAGTTTAAAGCATTTCATTTTCAGTAAACTGCAGGATGAGTAGCGAAAACTTCTTTCTTACAGTCAGAGTTTTCTGGAAGACAGGGTCCTGTATCAGATGCTCAATGGTATTATACTGAAAAGCAATGAAACATCCAATGGTGTTATTCATAATTCAGCCAATAAAAATTGCACATTGCAAATAACAATGGAAGCTACTTAACCAATACCTTCATGGCACAGAAAATTTGCCCTATAGCAATTGATTGAAGAAAAATTGAGAAAATAAGCTTTTGCTAACTTACTCAAATGAAGACGCACTGCAACGTCTTCACTTAGATTACAGGATGGAAATCTTTTATACTCCACGTTATGAACGGATATTAAACATGGATTGCTCACAATCTCAAATTTCAATGATTAGATAAAAATTGATTCAAAATCGTTCATTCTTCGGGATATAATTTAAATGCCAGAAAAAAAAAATCTTACCTTCGATCCCGCTTCCGTCCTGACCGGAGGTCTGCTGGAAAAGCAGACACTTGGCAGCAACAATTAACCCATTCTTCGGCCTGAAATTCATCAATAACTTCTGCATTGCCATTCTTTTCTTGGCTGCAAACTCGCTGCTTTCCTCCAACACCTGCAATTTTTTTCGGAAATCATATCGTCACGTGATCTTGGAAAATTTTCATCATTGTCCACTAGAAATGAAACATAAAGTGGCTGAAATTACGGGAGTTTGTAGATAACCTCGTTGAACAGGCTCAAATGTTTCAAAGATTTTCCAAGCAAAAACAGAATGCCATTCATTTTCAGACCCTTTCAAAAATGAGTCGCATAGCTTCTTTTTGAGTCACGGGAACAACGCATTTAAGTTCTACTGCCACTTCCTGAACAATAGGTAATTAAGAAAATATTCAACTAACACTCACCGAAGGAACAAGAACATGATTTCGATGGGACAAGTGAAACACTCTCACACTCCTCACAAATGTCTTGAAATCCTTCACAAACCCTCCTTTGATGCCCAACAATTGCAACACCTGCTCATTCTTTGCCTCAAGCACATCACTTGGCAGCAACAATTAACCCATTCTTCGGCCTGAAATTCATCAATAACTTCTGCATTGCCATTCTTTTCTTGGCTGCAAACTCGCTGCTTTCCTCCAACACCTGCAATTTTTTTCGGAAATCATTTCGTCACGTGTCTTGGAAAATTTTCATCATTGTCCACTAGAAATGAAACATAAAGTGGCTGAAATTACGGGAGTTTGTAGATAACCTCGTTGAACATGCTCAAATGTTTCAAAGATTTTCCAAGCAAAAACAGAATGCCATTCATTTTCAGACCCTTTCAAAAATGAGTCGCATAGCTTCTTTTTGAGTCACGGGAACAACGCATTAGTTGCCACTACTGCCACTTCCTGAACAATAGGTAATTAAGAAAATATTCAACTAACACTCACCGAAGGAAAAAGAACATGATTTCGATGGGACAAGTGAAACACTCTCACACTCCTCACAAATGTCTTGAAATCCTTCACAAACCCTCCTTTGATGCCCAACAATTGCAACACCTGCTCATTCTTTGCCTCAAGCACAAACTTGCTACAAGTCCCATCGCTCACCACAAACTTCCCCGATGCTGTCAAAACCCACCCGGAATCTGGACAAGTATCACAATTTGGTCCTTCAAGACTCTCATTTGGCACGAGTTGACTACAAGAGTCACACACAGCTTCAAACTCCACCGGAAACCAGGGCTTGAAGGATATCAACAAGAACCGGACACACGCCAGTTTATCAGGAAGAAGTCGACTCAGAGACACCAAAGGCCACAGCAATTCTGAATGGGACACTTTTGGACTGACAAAGAAATCACTCATGGCAGTAGCAACATAGTAATGATTCCCTGAGCCACTCATCTTCTTCACCAAGTTTGTGATCCTAACTTTCATCCCAGGTATGAGACCCAGAGGATTTCCAAAATGCAAAGCAGCGATATCACAGTATACACTAGTCTTCAATCCACTTGTGGACAATGTCACACGCAGATTCACAAAGTTGTTCTTCTTGTTTCGGTACACATCATCTATCACACCTTCGCAGGATCCATCCACATTCTGTCTCAATTCATGCGAACATATCTGATGGGTAAAGGATCCATTTGTGATTCTCAAACCATGTTGAGCCCGTGAAAGCCGCAAACACCCATCACTTTTCATCCAATACACACTCGTGTTGGCACACAGGTATTTCCATTTTGGAAGATCAGGCAAACAGATGGTGATTTGTGAGCCTGGGTACAAGTAGGGACGGATGGAGAGCATTTCGTTGCCTTCCAAGCATAATGAGAGCTTTCTGTGGCGTACTTTGACATTGGCATCAACTTTGTCAGTTGCTTTGACCATCACGTCCAAGAGGAATCCTTTCATGGAGGGCTTGTGGATATTCACATGGAGTCTGCTTCTGTTCAAGATGACTGCTTCATGGGAAACATGATTCGCCAGCTGACACCTGGGTAAGCATCTGCAATGAAAACCCGCGAACACATCTGGTTAGGAGAGATTCGTTGCTTTCTTGACATTGGTATGAAGTACACTGAAAGCAGTGCATTATACTGAATTTAGATTCCAGGTCCTCTGTTTGATCAACTTGAAGAAATTTCAGGAACAAGGATTACACTGGGCGTGACTTGAGTTTGAGGAACAGGTCAAGTTAAGTTTATTCAGTATTCGGTTAGGTTAAATTCGCTTTGGCTAAATTTTCCCATATCCACAACCACAAGGGCAGAATTTGGAGAAGCAAAGAAACTCACGATATTATCTGAACATCACACGGTTTAACAGCTATATAAACCATGCTCTCATTGTCAAACTTCTCATGGAAAACTTCGAAATTCCGGACAATGCAACACGCTCCAAGCCACGATAAATTTGGCAGAACTGAGTTCTCCGTCTCCAGGAAAACAATATAAACATGCCCTGAAGCATCCCTCAGCAATGGACGGGCTGAGTTTGAACATGCACCAAGAACACCTAGAAGCGTTTGCACAGACTGTGAATCTATTTGCTCAAAACCCCATTCGGAAACGTGATCCTGTGATGTCAGTTTTGTAATTTCTACAATATTTGGAAACAGCGTTGCGGGTTGACTGTGGCAACTTATTTCGTCTTCCAATTGTGCTAATGCTGGCAGCATTTCGGCAGAATCCTCAGTTGTAAGCTGAGTTGCTTGGTGAGGTTGAAACTTCAGCGACTTCAATCCACAACAGCCAGTAAGGATATCAAAGGCCATTCTGACCAGAAATTGCATGTCCGTTGGTTCATGTCTCACCAATATCCCCAATTTATCCGCAATAATAGTAACGTAACTCAGAAGCCATCCGTAGTGGCTCAGGCAGTTTACACCCAAGGACACAATTATGCGATCAAACGCTTGGGTCCAGGGGGATCTAACTGAATTCACAGCAAGCTTTTCAGGAACTTTCAGCACACTTGAATTGCTGCAAAATACTATCATCCCATCTGGTAAGTGTTTCACATCCGGGTTCTCAATGTTGAGCCAGTCTTTCAATTCGATTTCTGGAACACTGATGCCAAGAAAGGCAAGTGTGGAATAGTTGACTGTGCAAAGCGTTTTTTCTTTGAAAAGCTTTCGGCCCGATTCGTCAACAAAATCAGGAGGCTTCACCAAAAGTTTGCAAGTTGAAGCATACTTGTGCACACTCACAACTTGCCCTTTGAGAGTAATCATCTGAAAAATGGTGTTCTTGTGAATTTTTTGACAGTACATCAAAATAATTTAAGCTGGTGCACAACATTTATTCTCACGCTACGCCGCATTTTTAAGGAAATTGATCACCGTTCCTGACAAAGAGACTGAACGTTGGGCTTTTGAAAGTGCAAGAGTAACTGTACAACTGAAAATAACTTGGATAATGCAGCCATTGCCATAAATCAAGTTTACTGAACAATAATCACACTTCATCACAACAGTAAGGTGTTACAAACATTTTGCGCCCAACTAAGAAAACTCAGCCACCGTGTCCACCCATGAAACAGAAGTGGAAGCTGGAGGGAGTGATCGGAAACGGAGAGCGAACGAGGTGGAGAAAACCAAGGAATTCCGATCTTGACTTTTGAAGCAATGACTTCCTTCGAATATTTTCACTGATGTGACGCAACTAAATGTGTTGTCTAAATTTGTAGTTGTCGGTGATTGTGAATGAGTCGTGATTGAGGAAACAAGAATCTTGCTATTTCTCTATTGGGGGCTCGTCTGGGATCAATAAAGAAATACTGTAGCAGGATTCCCGTCTCCTCAATCACGACGTGTACAATTTATTCACGCTCACCGACGACTATCTTCACAGACAACACATGTGCACATCCTCCTATTTCTTTAAGGGGGGCTCGTTCGGGATCAATAAAGAAATAGCAGGACTCTTGGACTCTCAATCACGTTTCATTCGCTATCACCGACGACTATCTCCACAGACAACACTTAATTTAGCGTTGCATCATAAGTACAAAAATAATTGAGGAAGGCATAGCTTCGAAAGTCCAGATCAGACCGCTCTCCGCTTCCGATCAAACCCGCTAGTTCCCACTTCGGGTTCCTGGGTGGATTTGGTGGACACGGTGGTTCAGTTTCTTTCAATGGACACTAGATGTCATTTTTAACACCTTACTCAACTCGCAATCTGATCGCAACTTCGCGGGCGTGTACAGAAACCTGAACGCAGGTAACCAGGGTCCATTCACCATCAGGTTAGGACGTCAGTGTAGCTTCCAAAACATGCACTTTTCGGCAAGGGTTTATAACATGAGTTTTTAAAAACATCTCCCAAATCCTGTTCTATCTGATGATTTTCAGTTTTAATTCAGTGTGTCTCAATGTCACTGTCCTTATCTTGTTTGATCAATTACTGTAGATACATTTTTTGAGAAAAGATTGAACATTAGTTCATTTTTATTGCAGAATAAACTTTTTTGTAAATAGAACATTTTTTCTATCAAGAATTTATTTTTAATTAAATTCGTTTGTAGTACAATTTTTTTCCTGGATTCTAGGTCCATTCCCCTTGGACGTTTCGGGTTTTTATCTCGCACATCTCGTACAATTTTTTCAAATCTTGATCAATGTAGTGGTTCTTTTGAAAACGGGTTCTAACAAAATTATGGTACGTGGGCGAAACGTGCAGAAAAAGTTTTCAAAATTGAAGTTCGAGGCTGCAATAAATCCTTGGATTTATTGCATAAAAATGCATTTAATCGGCGGAAAGTATGTTGAACGGCACTCAAGTGTTGCCAAATTATGAGGCTATCATAGAGTTATTATTTAATTTGGAATTGTTGAAGCTACGTTGGATATATTTCAAAAGGTCTCAAAATGTATGAACCCTCGTATATAGAGGGAAACTTTTGCGAGGCAATACTGTACAACACATCAAAATCAATGAACAATTATTTTTGGAATCAATTACAGCTGTATTTCTGTGTAGGAAACAATACAAAACAAGATTGTTCATGGGGTTGGATGCACACACACAAAAACTGTTCATTGATTTTCAAAACATAAACAGCACATCATTGGAATGTCGGCATAGAATTGCTGATAAACTGTACAAACAAAAACTCCAAGAAACGTTTCCTCCGAAGCATTTTGTTGAATAATTCATACTTTTTCTTCATTTCAAGTATTTTCTTCTTAATGTTCCAATAAAGGCGAAACTTTCGAAAGCGCCTGTTTGAGTATCACGATTCAGCTGAGCCAATTAGAAAAAAAAATGAATGTACAAATTTTGGTACATGCTTTTTTCAGGAGATTTTCTGTATGGAAAGTTAATATTTCGATGAAAACAATGTTTTCTGTATAGATATTAAAGACTGTGGGATATTTTTGTAACTAAATTTTGCCGATATATTGAAAATCATCTAATGGAGATGAAACTGGCCAGATGGAAAATGAGTCCCTGCTGGGTTTGGAATGAAGTGCGAGATTCAGGCGTGAGGGCTTTTTTACCAGCCTCCGTGGCCATAACCGCCTCCACCACCGCCACCACCCTTTTTGCCGCCTCCGCCGCCGCCCTTCTTGCCGCCTCCGCCGCCGCCCTTCTTGCCGCCTCCACCGCCGCCCTTCTTGCCACCTCCTCGGCCGCCGCCGCCACCCTTCTTGCCTCCGCCTCGGCCGCCTTTCTTGCCGCCGCCACCTCCGCCGTTACCGTAGCCCATCATTCTGCCGGCTTTCTTGCCTAGAGAAAAAAATTCGAAGTTGTCACAAAAATGTATCCCGAAATTCCTGGATGTTATTTTTGGATTTTTTTTAATATTTCAGCAACATCGGTACAATTTTAGCAAATTTAGAACAGAAAAGGTTAAAATAACTTTTAAAGGATACTGCTTTTAGCTTCCCCTGCTTCACATGAATGAAATTAAATCAAATAAAATTTAATTAAGCTCAAATAATAAGGACAAATTTGCGAGGTAAAATGTAATTCTCTTTTAGGGGAATTATATTTTACCATGTCAAGTTTTCTCGGTATTTTATAAAAAAAAGTCGGAAATGATGATACTTTTTCACATATCTGTTTGGAAGCACTTACCAGCCTTTATAGCATATTTGCTATAGTTTCTCAGAAAATATTAGTCCCAATAAATGCACAAAACTATAAATTTACAAAGAAATGTATTATTGATTTTCTTATTACAGTATAACTTTTTTCAAATGTCTCTTAGACTTTGTTTTACTGAGATTTTACTGTGTACAGAAATAAAACTCATTGAATCATTGAATTGATTGAGATGTTTTCAATTATTGTTGAAAAGGAATAGTACTCTAACAACTACAGTATTTCCTCCCTATGCTGTGGGTTATGAAGCCCTCTATAAATTCAAAGTAATTTTGTCGAACTTCATAGCTTCAAAGCTAGTTCCTAGGTGTCACCTCCTCCTCCACCGCCCTTCTTGCCGCCACCACGCATCCTCTTCTTCATCTTCTGCATGAAGGATCGCATACGACCACCGCCCTTCTTTCCTCCACCGCCGCCCTTTTTGCCTCCTCCGCCGCCGCCGCCGTAGCCCATCATTCGGCCGCTTTTCTTTCCGCCGCCGCCACCGCCGCCCTTCTTGCCACCACCGCCTCCGCCATAGCCCATCATGCGGCTAGCTTTCTTTCCGCCACCGCCGCCCTTCTTGCCACCACCGCCGCCGCCACCCTTCTTGCCTCCGCCTCCGCCGCCACCATAGCCGCCGTAGCCGCCGCCACCACCGCCGCCTCCCTTGGAACCTCGCTTCTCCTGCAGGAAACATAGATAGAATCATTGAACCAGAATATACAAGGCGCCTTCTAATGACAGTCGCACAATAAATATGTACGATTTATTTTGGAATATGGATAATTAAGGGAATGAAAAAAATTGACTCGTCAAGGAAAGAATTCTTTTGGAATGTTGCTTTTCGCTAAAGAAAAAAATGATGCTCTCCCCATAGACACAACAATTTTCTGTGTAAAACGAATTACTTTTGGCCCTATTATTCCTCTATAAATACGGTTTCTCTGCAACAAAATTCTCTCTACAATGATTTTTGTTGCCACGAATTTCGTGATATGGAGAGTCCATCTGTAAGGAAAATTTTAATTTCCTTCTTCGGGTACAATTAATTCAACTCTCTTATTTCTACGTTCATAAAACTCGCAGAACTGACTCCCAAAGAATGCTTTAGGCAATGCTTTCATGGTCGCTTTCATTCCTAAATGTGTCATAGCGGTTTTATTAAGTTAATTCATGATCATCAACGCAAGGATATTTTTTTTCAGGAAGATAAATTAACAGAATGAGCGTGGGTTGTTTTTTGTTCATGGCCTCATACGAGATTATTAAATCTTTGTCATTAAAAACAGGTCTCGTAATTTATGGACAGAACCGAGCGTTGCTGAATTTTTATTCTTTACTTCGAATCAATATTTTGAATTAAAAACCTTCACATAAAAAAAATAAAATGAGGGCTTTAATTCAAGTGTATAATGAAATATTCCGGAAGAAATTCGATGAATTTTGAGGCATCTGGGAATTCGCTGAGATTTCGAAACGACTATATTAGCATAACATTAAGAAATTCTATACGAAAAAATTTCATTATGAAAAACTTCCTGGCTTTTTCAGCCATTATTGCGGACCTTACACCAACAATAACGAAATTTACCTGATGATGCAATAACTTAATTTATAACATTTTTAATTCCATATCCTTCGTTCAGCTGCTCCTGTTTTGAATTTTTTTTTTCAAACAAGATTTTAGGTCTATTTTCTTTTACTTTAGGCATGATTCAAATTTTTTTTTTAAATGGTTAAATATACTCACCCTGACAAGCAATAATTCTCCTGGTTCATCAAGTATCGGGAAGTCATCAACGTTCTCCAAGTCAATCAGAGCTAATTGATCTCCTTTTGATTGACTGTCTTCATCTGCGAAAACTGCTGCGAAAGCTGTGAAATGAAACAAGATCCGAAGAAAATGTTTGAATGATTTTGACCTCGGGCAGATCACGTCTCAAAGCTTAACGTCAGTCTCGAAACAGATACGGAATAAGCCCACATGAAATTTGTGTCGCAATACGGCTTGTACATATATACATACAGTAGTTATAACATCAGAGGGAATAAAAATCACGAGGATTTCAAAACCTGCCCATGACCTGTTATTTATCATCTTCCGAAGTAAATTTATTGGGTCACAATTTATTGGTGAACTTCTGTATTGTTGTTATAGAATATGACTCGTTATAAGGCGTTTTGATTTCTCTCGGTAAAAGGTCTTTAATATACCCTATTTAATAAGCATTCAGCTGGTACTCTACTTAAACGTTGCCTACTCACGAACTTAATACGTAGATTTTTCTTTTCAATTTCGATTTTTTGAAGTTCATAGATGTTTTCAATTTCATTGATGATCGGCATCGCTTAAATGATAGAAAGTGATTTGTTTCTTCTACAGTAGTTTCATATTTTCTTAAAAATCTTTTCTCAACTGGCCGGCATTGAAATGTAAACATTTTGGAAAATGGTCTTTCAAAAACTCTGGACTTGAAATTTGCTCGCTTCAGGTTGTCCCTGAATGTGCAGTTTTTTGGAGATAATATTATAAATTTTTAAAATTATTATGAAAACAGCAAAAACTTTCATGGGAATTTCCGTGGTGATCGTTTTTCGCGATGGTTGCCATTCAAGTATTCAAGAAACAATAATAGTCGAAGTTGTGCGAATTTCTCCGAATTGAAAATCAATCGTGAAAGAAAAAATTCGTCAAGCAAACGAGTTTCTTCAACCGGAATTTTTTTCAATGCACGATTTTTGAGTAAAGATTGATCTCACGGAACAAGAAAGGGTCACTAAAAGAATCCGTCACAGATTTCTAATCCTAGAAAAAGATGATATTTCTTTTCCGAATCGTAAAAAAACTGGAGCGCGTCATAAAACTTCAACTGGATTCTCGTTGCTTTAAAAATATTCCTTCTGGCTTTTCAGCTTTTTTGTTTTGTTTTGTTTACTAACATTCATGCATCGAGAAAAGTTTGTTATAAACGTGAGATCCTTGAGGAGGGATTTTCTTTTTTAACTGTTGTACCTTGAAGAGCTTTCTGGCTGATGTGCCAATTTTAGATTTACACTCGAAGCTAAAATCTCATGTTGGTGTGGCGAAATCAGTGGCAAAACTGTGATTTTTGCATGCTTTTGTCAAAGGAAAATTTTTTGTTTCATATCATTTTTCTACAAGTGGAAAAAATTCTCAGTATGGACATTTTTACCAACAATTCCGACAGAAATTGTGTTGCGTGTAAAAAAAATTTCGATTCAGTTCAATAATTCTGCTTTTCATTGATTTTCCTCCCGTTTTCGAATAATTCTTTTGAAATTCTGAATGTTTAAAAAAAAAATTCAAGTGAAAAGGTCAAACAAAATAAAATATGTATCTGATTAAACCAGCAATTAAATCACGCTAGATTAATGTATCTTAGGAAACATTGATTTGACTTTAATCACTTCAATAGATGCCTTATTTATATCTATAGAAATCAAATAATTTGATTGACTGTTTTTTTTGGCACTTTTCAATTAACAGTTTGGTGAACAAACTCAATTCTTCTGACGCAGTGATGATGGATTGAAATTTCAACTCTTTCCGCTCTTTTAAAAATATTTAGAGCAAAAACTTGAAAAGTTTTCGGACGTGCACTTTTCAATTAACAGTTTGGTGAACAAACTCAATTCTTCTGACGCAGTGATGATGGATTGAAATTTCAACTCTTTCCGCTCTTTTAAAAATATTTAGAGCAAAAACTTGAAAAGTTTTCGGACGAGTCCAAAAAAAATAAAACTCCCAAAATGTATTAAGCATTAGCTACCGTATTTCTTCAAAATTACTAAAAAAATAAATCGAAGACAGCCAGTCAAGCTGAAGAGCTCTCATCGGAATCCATGCAGCAATCGAAACCCTCGGCAGCAAGTCAATTTTCAAGTTGACCTTTCATTCGTTTTCTATCCATTAACAAGACAAACAACGAGTAGTTATGCAAATGAAACAAAGTGTTGAAATCTGTAGAAAACAAACGCCACGTCGAAAGGAAATTTCAAAACCTCCGAGTGACCTTTAAAAAAAAAGCGAAACTTTAACCAAGGGAAATGTTGCGTATATATTTCACCAAATCATCTTCGAAATTTTAATTTTCTTTCGTTTTATCTCTCTCGCCTTCGTAAGTAACATCGTATCGTTGGAATAAATGAAATAAATGAATGAATGAATGAATGAATCTGCAGACAGGGGAGGAAAAAAGTCCGTGACCTGACGTGACCTGAAGCTTGCCGCAACTCCGTGCGGTGCGCGGAGTAATCTTGCCCGGGTCATCCCTCGAAATATACACGTTATACATACACGGAGATGTTTTGAAACGTTGAAATTTCTTCCTTATATATCCTTTTTTCTGTTTAAATAAAAAGCCGTGGGTTTGAATGCGCGAAAACCATTGTAATTTTCGCTGTGTTGCGACAAACAGACAACGACGAGAAGAATGCGTCTATTGCGGATTCCCTCACCTTACTAGAGCACGAATTTTCTTGTCTCCTAAAGTGTGCGCTCAAAAGTAATAACAATCACGAGACTTTAGAGACCCAAACTCCCCCTTTTTTCGCTTAACTAAGTTAATTTAAAGTACCTGTTTGAACTCAATTTTTTCGTCACACATTGAGTTCAGAGGTCTGGAATGTGAATGAATTCATAGGAGAAAATTGGAGCAAAATTGGCGAGAGAAACATTTCAGCTTCTTCTCATTTTTGGAGCATCATTTTTTTTCAAGTAATTTTCATTTGAAGTCTTACTCTTTAAAAAAAGTAATGAATTGAGCCTATTTAAAATCCAGGGATAAATTTGTTGTAGCATCCGTCAGCAAAGAAAGAAGAGATTGGATTCGATCTGCATATTTTCACGCATGAAATTTAACAATAGCCTTCATCAATAAAAGTGTGTTTTCTTTACACTGTATATACAGCAGTAGTGCTTTCAAAATATGCCGGGGGAAATTTTTTAATTGTAATTAAATACGAGAGACCCAATGCATTCAGGTCTTCTGGTCAAAGAATAAATGTGGAAAGAAAAATTTTAGTTCCGTTGACGTAAATTTTTATTTATATTAGAACAGTAAATATTTTTCAGCTTTCAGAATTAAAACCTGCTGATTTCACATTAAAATGGTGATGATTTCAAAATCAGGGTGTCAATTTCCGACGGCCTCATATGATAAGCGTGAGAAAAATTCATTGGCTGAGTTAATTTTAATGAATAATTTCAGGCGTCGTAAATAAGAATACAGCGAGGGGTTCATTCAAGTTTGATTTTG